CATGTATAAAACGGTTAGTTCCAATCCTTGATTCTGATTGGTCAATAGCTGTGCTTTATTCATTATATAACACGGCTATGACCGCTTCACCCAACGGTTCTATTTATCATTTGCGCAAAACTTGTTTTTATTAGAGCCTTCATGCATATTACACATTGGAATTGCTATTCATGGTTAGGAACTATTTTTTTCTAGCGGAAGGAAGGCTTTTAGTGATTTTATTCATGAAAGTTGCACTTTTACTTTTTTTTTTTTTTTATTTTTTTTAAATATTTTTTATTGTGTGATGAACGTTTCATAAAAGCAATAAGGTACTCGAGGCAAATGCTGTATCGTGAATAAGTAACGGATGAAGGGGTTACAGGCACATTGCTTAGCTTACATATATAGCATTCATTTTGTTATTTTGCAGCATTTGCTAAAATACTGTAAAAAAATATATTTTCAATATTTGTTATCACAACATTTTTTCTTTTGTCAAATCAACTTAAATAATTTATTTAGTTGAGATAACTTATTATTTTGAGTTTCTGATGATTAAATTAATCTCCTTCATTGTATTAAGTCACTTTTTCCAGTTCAATCAACTTAAAATTTTAAGGCAACCAGGTTACGTACTTTTTTTAAAAAATGTCTTGGTTTTAGTTTTTTTTTTAATTTGCTATAAATGAAGTTGTTCCTCCATGAAATCTTTTAACTCATAGCTGTGTTCGCCAGTTTGATAACTTTATTTAAATCAACAGAATTCACAAAAGCAATGTTCAAAACTCAACTCAGCACAACACAAAACCTCCAAAAGCTGACCTGAAACACTCTCACACTGGTCCTGGTGCATTATTGTTGAGCCTTGTGCTCGCATATCACTGCATATGGATATCAGTGGTGTAGTAGATACAGTGTATATGAGTGTATGCTTGCTTATGTAGGAGAAGACACCGGATTTCGCTGTTGGGAAATGTAGGGCTTGTCCCTGCTTGTGGTTTTCTACTCATTGCCTGAGTGAATGTGAGAGATAGCTGCATTCCTGCTACAATACATTTGTGCATGGTTTTGATATTCAGTAAAGCATAAATCAAGGCCGAGCTCAAAGACTGGCCTCATTAGACATCTGACTGTCTGAGAAGACTCTAGCTTGCAGACTGGAACGTGTGTGTGTGTGTGTGTTCTTGCTTGCTTGCTTTCTTGTTTACCTGCTTCTTTGCATGTGTGTGTGTGTGTGTGTGTGTGTGTGTGTGTGTGGATATGCATTTTTATAAATATAACCAAAAAGCTATTAAGTGTGCACTGAGGTGTTTAATTTGAATCTTTAACTTCAGGTTCTGTCAGTGTGTCTTCTGACATTCATCAGACTCAATGACTTCTTTGCCTTATAGAATACTATCTAATAGAAAGGATGGGCTTCTGGATCAGGTCCAAAAGAGGCACCCTAACCTGCCTGGACCAAGTGCAACTAGATACTCTTGGTTTCAAGTGTTCTTTTATGGCCCTACTGGTGGCCGTATAGTATTTTATGATCAACATAACATACTGTAAAACAAATATTCTTAGCAGCACATAAGGACTGATTACATATTCATGAAGCACCCCAGCCAGGTATGAAAGAAACAAGTGCACGAGTCTCAAACTACTGGGCCAAATGTGGTCCTTAAAGTTTATCTTTAAATCTGGGATGCAAATTAATGTTACCTGAAAATCCATTGGTTTTCAAACTAGAATCCAAGAACCTCCACAGTGTCTTCAAAAGGGTGCTGTAGGGATCCACCATCCACCCACCCACCTGTTTTTATTTTTTTATACATGTAAATTAGTAACTGCCATTATATCATGACAGTGTCCCTCACAAGTTTTTATTTACCATATATGTGAATAAATTGCTATTTATTTCTGTTTTTTTATCCATTCAAATAACATCTAAGCAGCACATCAAAGCCGTATCATGATGTTTCTGGTCTCTTAATGAGGCGGATACCTGCCTGATCTGCAAGGAGTAAATCACATTGCAGAAATACAATCTCAGGCATCATTAGTCCACTAAGCATGCAGAGCAGTGCACTACGTGTGAGGAAGAGATGAGTGGCTCAGCTCTAAAAAGAGCAGTCCATGCGCCAATAACTATGTTTCAAAGTGCATGATTGCACTTAAAAACAATTGTTTTGTTTTTTCTTTACTCCGTCAACTGGCCCCTGCTGGAGGATATAATTTGGGTTGAAGACCCCTAGTGCAATGCTGTGTATATGTGTGTGCGTGTTCCAAACAGACAGACAGACAAAGGGCACATATTTTTGTGTTGGTTTTAAGTGTCATTTGGAGTTTGTGGGTGTGTTTTTTTGTTGCTGATGAGCACATCGGCATACTTTAGGCCTTGTGGATTGAGGTGGGCACTGTGCCAAATATCTGCCAGCAGGGGATACGTATCTTTCTGACTGCCGTGGGCAATAAGTCCTTGATTTCCTGGATAAAGACAACTTGCCGGTTGTCCCAGAGACCACAGACACGCACAACAGTAATTTTATATTCATATTCCCACCATATTACTATACTGCATCTCTCCTTATTTCTTCTCTCTATTGACACACTTCCATAACTTTAAATGAGGCTCTAGTGTTTAAATTACATCAATCAATGCCCCCCAGCCCCCCCCAACCCTACCAAAAGCAAAACTCAGGCAGGCGCATTATTTAAACATGGACTTTAAACTCTTTCCATGTCAAAAACACAATTAAACTGGTGTCGGAATGGCCCTGCAGGGCAGCATAATGAACTGTTTGAGCCATCGGAGCACAGAAAATGAACTTATAATTTAGATTTCAGCATTACATTAAATCTATACATCATCAAATTGGATTGTATTTCTCCCAGGAGCATGTGAAGCAATAGCTATTTATTATTCATAACTGCTGAAAACATGAAAACAGTCTTTTGTGGTGACGCGAGGTCTATGATGGAATCGTGGTGCACAGACACAAAAGGTGACAGCCAATGAAGAGAGGCCTCAACTAACATGCCTGTAAAAACAAGCTAACGTACCAAAGGAGCAATTACCCATCATGTCAGTGATGTTTTTACAACACCGTGTCAGAAACTCAGCCCAGGCCTGTGAATTCCTAATGTATGACCGACAGGAGAGATTTCTTTGGTTTTCGGCGATTCTCTTGCATTCATCCCTGAGTGCGTTGTTGTTTTTACTCAAGCCTAAAGCTTGAATTTAATCAAAGCGCACTTCAGCTGCAGTATGAACCACTTTGGGGTTTCGTATGCATTCAAAAAAACAGCAATTAGCAGCTAGTTTTGAAAGACAAGCCTGGATAATATTTCCCAGGCTTATTAGCCATTATCAGCTTTGTTCAACATTCCACAATCCATTTAATTGCTTGATAATGCAGCAACAGCACCATTGAGTTTTTAGTTGTGAAACTGGTCTAAACAATTTCCAACACTGAGCTAACCTTGCTAAAATAGTTCTTGAAAACATTAGGTCTCAAATGTTCTTTGCTGGTGGGCATTTCTTACAGCTTTCTAGACTATTATTTGTCTTATTACAGTAATGGCTACTTACCAAAATAATACAGAATTGACATGAACTGTTGGTTTGAGATAAAGAGAAAAGTAGATTGTGTATGGAAATTATTTGCCAGAAACTGCAATCAATTAGTGTTCATATATAAAAATATTCTACCACAGAATTCTACAACTGACCAATCAGAATCAAGGATTTTAGAGAAACACGTAAAATACAAAGGTTATAGTAGGTCTGCTTGGTACTAAATCTGTTTTTTAGACTTTAGATGGCCACACACTAAGTTGAAAATGTTGTGGTGGTGATTTTTATGTGATCAAAATACATAAAAACAGTAATATTGTGAAAAGTTGTTACAATTTAAAATAAATGCTTTCTATTTAAATATATGTCCTTCACATTTCATTCATTCTTGTATGATGATTTTCTGCCTAAGACACTTTAGTTATTGTTATCGGTGGTAAAAACATTACCGTTTAATATTTTATTATGAGAATTCATTTCTTATTCTTGAAATGGATGCAAGGTTTTCAGTGCAAGTATGCTTCAAGCCTGAAAATCTTATGATTGTTATGTAAAGTGGTCTAAAAAAGCTTTCTGATGTGATGAAAAAGCCAGTCCCAAAGCCAGTTTACACACATCTAATCTACAATCTCTTTTTTCTTTCAGTCTTCTCATCCTTCTTTTTTCACTGGTTCTTCGCCTCTTCATCCCCGCAGACACCCACGTCATGAGGATTTATGGCTCTCTTGGCGTCCTATAGATAGAGCTGACCCAGTGGCCAGAGAGGTCCTGAGACATGAAAGCCTGACCTTACTGTGCCCAGCAGGGCTCTGCACACCTGTGGGTCGGCCAGGACGACACCGGGAATCAATTTCTCTCTCTCATTCTCTCTGTCCTTGCACTCATTCAATGCCATCTTCATCTGTAACTTTAATACTCACCTTTGTAGCATCTCCCTTTGTCTACCTGAGGGATTGTCAATTGCTCAGTGTTTTTTTCCTTTTTTTCTCTGACCTTTGACCTAGTTTTTCTGCTTGTCTGGTCTGTGTTTGTGAATGGGGCTTGCTGAATTATAGTGTGTCATGAGTGACAGCTGGCAAGAACCAATAAACTCCATCCCTGCATTCCTGCAGAAGACCATTAAAGGCCTGTCACATCGCTTTCTCCGTTCAAACAGGGCAGTTACCGTGTTTTACACTGCTGTTCGAACGCAACTCTTTGAGGAGGCATGTGACCAGCTCAGAGGTCTGGCTGTTTTATTTGTAAGATCTAAAAACCCTGGTGCAACACGTTCCCTGTGGAATAAGTCCACCTTTTTGACCCCAACTTCTGCTGCTGCCTTTCAAAAGTCACATTTGGGAGGTCTCACATACTTCCACAATGATTGGAAATGATTTTTTAAAGTACCTAATTTTGTCCCGAGAGATTACATATGCTAGATATGTAATATGTAATAGACATGTATGTAGACAAGGAAAGAAGAGATGCAGCAGTAAAACTTTTTTGGTCAAAAAAAACAAACACGCGTTAATCTAAAACCACAAGAGAGAAGGAAACGGCATCAGCTAGTCACAGGCAAAGACAATACAGGACCAAGGATTGAACAAACTGAAGGCTCAATGATGAACCAAGCAAGATGCAGGTGTACATAATCAATTAATAAATCAGAAACAAAGGACACAATCGGAAACCAAGCAAACAGGAAATAAGCACAGGGAGGAATCCGAAGGAAGCTCAACATAAGAGTCCATAGCAGAACAAATACCTGGATGGTCTGTATTTTGGCCATTAGTTTTTTGTAATGCAGTGATTAACTTTTTAATGTCATGATGCTCATGTGACTTTAAAGCGCATAATAACTGTGCAAGACCTCAAAACATGACAATAAAAAACAAAGTCAGTCACCAAAGACAACCTCTTTACAAACAACCAAATGTCTTTAACTCGGTTTGTGCCTAAAAACACTATATGGAATTCTCTTCATTTTCTCAGTTGCTGCTCTCTCTTTCTTACTCTTTTTTCACTCTCTCTCCCCATCCATCTTCTTGCCGTAACTGTGAGCCAACCTGTTGTAGCTCTTCCACACCCCCTAAACTTTCCCCTCTAGAGGTATTTGCTTCATTCATTCAGTCTCTCTTTCCCTCACACACCCTTTTGCTCTCTTGGATTCTCTCACCCCACGTCCTGGGACAGTGTATTACAGTGTGTGGAGTCCCGTGACCTGTGCTTGGATTGTATTATTACCTGTCGGATCTCCAGCGGACTGGGTCTGTTTCCCCTGGACAGCAGTTTTGCATTCGAGAGGAGGATCATGGTGCAGGGGACCGTGGGAAAGGTGAGAGAGGGTCTCTATGAACTTTGCAGCCCAATGCCTCACAATGCAGAAAGCTGTATATCTATCTAGCTCACTGCCAAGTTTCTTTCTCTCGATTTCTTTATCTTGCACACTCTGGATGTGGGTCAAGCCAGTTGTTCTCAAATAGTTTTGCTTCAGGATTTAGATTTTCTTGGACATCAAGTGGCAATCCATCTCAATAGAATGAATATTTAATCTAGTTTGATCAGTTACCCTGTGTAGTTTGATGCATGGTTTTTGAGGATGAATCCATCCCATGCAACCTGTCTATGTTGACATGTGTCTAATTTAGCTTCAACAGAATAACTCTAATATAGCCTGACTTCGTCATACTCATATTCTTGTCAGAATATGAGTCTGATACTGCTCCATTGGGCTTTGATTATGAGGCGTGTCTTAACCGAACCAGGAAAAAAAAACTCTGCACTCAATTGGATAGTCGGTAAACCTACAACCAATCAGAGCAGCGCAGTAAGTCAACTACTTTGCGTACAGTTGTCAACTACAGAACTTACTTATTTTAGAAGTGTTGCTTCTTTTACTTGGTCCTCCATGAATGCGACCAAAGGAGAAACCACAACGACCACAGGCTTTTCATTACGCCCCATCTTCTTAGCGACCATCGGAGCCAGCTGATAAGTTACACTTTTGCCGAATCATGTAGGAAGGACGGCAAAAATATCTTTCCGATCGACAAATGCCTTGATTGCAGTTTTCTGTTTGTCTATTAAAATTAATGCGCTGTCGATTTATTTCACAACAGACGCGACGGCGGAATCTATACATCTCAATTAAGCGCTCTTTGATAACGTGATGATTACGTCCTTGCAGATCATCTGTCCATCATCGTATAAAGCCCGCCCTGGCAATTTGATTGGCCCGATCATTTTTTTCCTCAATGGATCGAGTCCAGACCGAACTTCCCGACCAAAAAAAATTTGTGGGCGGGGTTCGGGCTGGCCTCCAGTCTTACTCTAATATGATTCGACCCTAAAATATTGTAGAGTTCGATTGGGTGCATAATGTTTTCTCATCCTTTAAAAGGTGAGCTCTTTCCCTTCCCACTCCCACCACGACCCAATAAAAAAAGACCTGCGGCCCATTTTAGGGTCATGACCCTTAAGTTGAGAACCGCTGTTCTCTAAGCTACTGCAATTTAGCATTTTAAAGTTCCTTTTCTCAAACATCTGATTAGAACTGGTATAATTTGACCATGCTCATTTCTTGTTTAATGCATTTTTTGATTAGGTAATTGTGGGACAAAATCCGAGACTCAATCCACCATGTGCCGTTCCACTCCATTTACCACTGCGTCTGACGGCTTCAAGAGCCCTGCTAATGCAACTAAAAAGCCTTGAACAAAATAATAGAGTGTGTCTGTGATGCCTCCAGTCTGATAGCTTATTCAGGCTTTTACACGCCCCTCGAAGTTGAACGGCACTCCGGCTTTAGTCGTACGTACAGCCGTAGATGAGCCGCATAAAGTCACTTCATCACTGCACGCTGGCGGCTTGCCTCTTTCTGATGCTGATAAGCCTCCAAACAGCATCCTTTCCAGCTTTTATTGTGAGCAAGCGATTACTGAGAGTATGCGTATGGGCATTTGCACAACAACAGATGTTTTGTGAGGACTTTCCTCCCAGTATCTTAAAAACATTCATCACTGAAGCATCATTTAAGGATGTTTGGCTCACCTCATAAATGGCCGCTATTGAACTGTGCTTTCGCCATTGGGCTCCATGCAACAACTGCATGGACTGTTTGGATTGGCGTCTCTCCATGTGTGCGCTAGTGCATTTTTTGACGCTTATGATTAAATGTGCGTTTAGCTCTTAATTTAGACCTACACAGATAATCTCCTGTGACCGAATGCAGAAACTGCTAACAAACAGCAGGGCTAGAGAGAGCGAGAAGGAGAACTGGGTCGTCTCCTGTACCTTTACAATCCTTTAAAGCGCACAATCCAGCTGCAAACTCACCTCTCCGGTCAGCCTGCGCTTGTGAGATTACATTCTATGACTGTATGCTGTATGCAAGTTGCTGCACGGCAGACATCCAAAAAATATAGCTTGAGTCACATTGGTTGCACCTTCCTGTCTGTACGTGGCTCGAATAATCGTTTGTTCAATCAGATTCATTCATAAATCGCACAATCAGACGGCAGTTTCAAAAGTCTTATCTGCCCCGTCCAGAGAACCAGAATCCATGTAAAGTCATGTGAACTAACTGTGGTACAGAAGTGCTTGAGGTTACATGCTCGAACAGGACTGAGTTTGAGTGGTATGTGCAGAGTTCATGGCCACAAAGTTTTTTGATGAATAATCTGACAGCGTTCCACTGTCTGATGCTAACTTTGTATGCTAAAGGCTGCCTAGTAGTGTCTTTCGTGATAATATAAGGTGTTAGCACTACTGTATGTAAAAATGCTTTATAGACTCTTGTGCATCCCAGAGAAGTTTGTTAAAGTCAGCGAACCCTTGCAGCTGCATTAATTTTGTGAAGTGTCAGCCTCGTTCCCTGCACATTACAGATGGCAGTTGTGCAGTAAACCATTGCATTTGGATGGCTGTGGTTGCTGCACATCTTGGCTGCGCTGGTTGAACAGAGACTCGCTAGTAGTAAATATTTCATACTGATGTAACCTGACAAAACCATAGTGGTTCTGTGAAATAGTTGCAATTATGACCTATAAAGTCACATTGTGGGATATTAAAGGAGTAGTTCACTTTAAAAAAAAAATATCCATGTCATTCTTTCTTCAGTCGAAAAGAAATTAAGGTTTTTGATGAAAACATTCCAGCATTTTTCTCCATATAATGGACTTCAGTGGGAACTAAACGGTTCAAGGACCAAAAGACAGTTTCACTGCAAACTGTTCAAAGGGCTTTAAACGATTCCAGACGATGAATAAGGGTCTTATCAAGCGAAACGATCGCTCATATTATATATTAAATAAAAAACAAAGTTTAAGTTTTATAAGCTCAAATGATCGCCTTGTTCAGTTCTGTGATGCGCGTTCGTGACTCTCCTGTCATCAAAATGAACAAATCTTTTTTCGAGTCAATTTGTTCATTTTGTTCGCTAAATGAACCAAATGACACGAAAAAAGATTTGTTCATTTTGATGCAAGGCGACCATTTGAGCTTATAAAACTTTGTTATTTTATTTTTTTTAAATGTCTGATCGTTTCACTTGATAAGGCCCTTATTCGTCGTCCGGAATCATTTAAAGTCCTTTGAACAGTTTGCAGTTTGCACTGGACCTTGAACCGTTTGGTTACGAGTAAAGTCCATTATATGGAGAAAAATCCTGGAATGTTTTCATCAAAAACCTTAATTTCTTTTCGACTGAAGAAAGAAAGACATGGTCATCTTGGATGACATGGGGTGAGTAAATTATCAGCAAAAGTTTTTTTAAGTAAACTACTCCTTTAAATAACAATTGACCCCTGGTTTCACAGACCAGGCTTAAGCCAATTCCCAGACTAAAATATTTGTATGCCAGTGCAAGTTGCTTTCAGTTAAAACAGCTCAAACATGCATTTTAGTCTGGAACTATAGGCTTAAGCCTCGTCTGTGAAACCGGGGATTAAGATACATAGATAAAAACCTAATTTTACTTTCAGATAAGTGAGGATTTTAGTGATAATGGAGAAGTTACATCAATGAATTGGTGTCCTTGAGGGGCAACTCATCCACCTTCTTAAAAATTCTTGAACCTTCTGTCCTAAAGGCAAATTGTACTGTATTTTCACTGCAGTTCTTACCTTGCTCTCTAGACCACACACAGACAGAAGTAATAATGAGCAGTCTTGGTGTCTTTCACAAAGGTCAAGTTTGTTGTGACACTTTGACCTCAATGTCAACTGCCTTGTGTGATGTAACTATAATGTGTCGATTCACTGTCTTTGTACTTTCGGGAACAATGATGATTAATGCTGTTGCCTATATGCTTAAGGTTATTCATATCACAGTCCACAGTTTACAGAGATTGTCATAATCTACACATGTAGACATGCATGTTTTGATGAGAAACCTGCTAAAAAGTCCAAGCAAACTCACCAGGAAAACTTAGCTGATAAAGTTCACTAGCATCCCACGTTGAAGATCAGAATCCAAACCTTAACAATGATGGGCAACTTGTGTTTTTCATTATTTACTTGTTCCAAACTGGTTTGACTTTCTTTCTTGAATATAGAACACAAAAAAAGATGTTTTCTTTTCCATACATCGTTCATGAATAGTGACCACTAAAGTGATCTAAAATTACAAAAAACACCATAAAAGTATGATGTTTCCCATGACATACATATGCATGTGTTATAATATAGTTTTCTGAAGACATACAATAGCTTTTTTAAGAAACAGAGTGCAATTCTGTTTAAAAGTTTGGGGTCAATGTTTTTGCATGTTTCACCAAGACTGCATTTATTTTAATCAGAAATGCAGTAAAAATTGTAATATTGTAAAATATTATTGCAATTTAAATTTTAATGTAATCTATTCCTATGATGGTAAAGCTGAAATTTCAGCATCTTCAAGATCTTCAGGGTCACATGATCCTTCAGAAATGTGTCTAATATGCTGATTTGCTGCTCAAGAAACATTTCTTATTATTATTATCAATGTTAAAAACAGTTGTGCTGCTTAATATTTTTTGTCGAAAGGTTTCAGTATTCTCTGATAAACAGAAAGTTCAAAAGAACAGCATTTTTTGTGATAGAAATATTTTGTAACATAATTTACTGTCCCTTTTGATCAATTGTGTCTTGTTGCAACTCATTTCTGGGGACCTTCCATTATATGGAAGAACAACATGTACATTTTGAGACAATTATCATTCTTTTACTGTACAAATTATTATATTACTAGTTTATTAGTGTCCTCTGTTGAATTTAATCCTGAGAAGAATATAAGCTTAAAAGAATAGCATTGTGCAGGACCGCAGCTCTTTAACCTTAAACAATTGTCTTTTATTTGAATAATACCTGTCTCCATCTGAGAGCTATTCATTTCTTAACCGGCGCTCAGCGGGCCTACACAGCCAAATCTGACAGGATAAATGTGCCGGATTATACAGGCGATTTTCAGCGAAGATTCAGCGATTACATTGACTCTGCTAACAGAATAGATCAAAATGATTATTCTGAATGTGTGTATATGCATATGTATGACGATACCGATCTCTCTCTTCCTCTGTCTTACAGATAAAAGGGAGAGAGCATAGCAGCTAAATAAATTGGAGAACAAGCCCGTCTCAGGACATCAGTCCAAGGAAGAGGATCTGCCGGCAGAGAGATAAGAGAGGGAACGAAAGAGAAAATCAGAGGACGAGAGAGAGAGAGAGAGAATGGGATATTGCGGCATATGGATCTTCCTCTTGTCCCTGTCTCTCTCCCATCAAAACGCCACTGCAGAGGCTGAAGGTATACTGCTGACTCATACTTTATCTAGGGTCTCTTGAGTCGCCAGTGAACTGCCAATATCACGCCCTTCAATCAATCACACTCTGAAAAAGGTTGCAGGCAAGGTACAAAATGAACATTTGCCAAGCATTAAATCAGGGTTCCTCAAACTCGGTCCTGGAGGGCCACTGTCCTGCAGAGTTTAGCAAACACACCTACTTGTGAGTTTCTAGTGAGCCTGAAGACCTTGATTAGCTTGCTCGAGTGTTTTCGATAAGGGTTGAAGCTAAACTCTGTAGGACAGTGGCCCTCCAGGGCCGAGTTTGAGGAACCCTGCCTTAAATGCTAAAAAAAAAACTGTTGGTGAGTAACTAAAATTGACATCCCTGACTGGATGTGAACCATTTGAATTAAGTCATGGGTGTCCGTTCCTGCTCCTGGAGGGCCACTGTCCTGCAAAGTTTAGCCCCAACCCAAATTAAACATCTGAACCAGCTAATCAAGGTCTTAATAGGCATACGAGAAACTTCCAGGCAGGTGTGTTGAGGCAAGTTGAAGCTAAACTCTGTAGGACAAAAAGGAAGAAAACTTCCAAAAGAATGAAAGAAACATTAGACTTCCAATGTTTTTAATTTGCTTCATGATTTGACTAGCATGATTTTTTTTTTTTGCATACATTGCGATTTATTTTACTTTCGCATTCTACAATTTCATATAAAATATATAAGTTGATATGTATAGATGCTAAAAAAAAAGGTAACACAATTAATTAATTTATTGTTATTAATTAATTAATACTTTTAAATAATCTTTTTGTTTATTAGTTGAACAATTAATCAGTTACTTAAATGTTGGTGATTTTTGCCTATTAATTTTTATTTTATTATTTTATTTTATCAGTTGAAAAATGAATCAGTTACTTCAATGTTGGTGCTTTTTGCCTATTTTTTATTTTTTTACTCATTTATTTATATCTTATTTTATTTATTTATTATTTATTAGTTGAATAATTAATCTGTTACTTCAATTCTGGTCGGGGGGTTTTGCCTAATTTATTTATCTCTGATTTAATTTTCACACTTTTTTCAATTTACTTATCTTATTGTTTTCTAGGATAAAATAATCGAGATATTAAAGAGATACTGTCCAACACGCATCTATCTTGCTGATAGGTTCCTGTCACTGTTATGTCCCAAAAATGATGAGCCCACAGTTCAAATCCTTACAAATTTCCTGTTGTATGAGATTCTTTTGCATTAGTTTTTCAGGGAAGTTTACTTTGAATCATTTCCATGTGTATCGGTTCACCTGAAGAGGCTGTACAGGTGGAGTTTTTTCCACACGTGTCCTGCTGAGTCAGCAGGTTCTGCTCCGGCACATATGCAGACCTCCTGCAGCTTGTTACCTCTGGTTTGAGCCTTTTAAGATAAATCATTGTACCCCTCTCTGATTTCCATCAGCTCAGAACTGTCTACAAAAATCAGTGCGTGTGTGTGTGTGTGTTTCTGTTTCACCTTGAGCTGTGTATGAGAGGGGGAGAGAGCGGGAAAGAGCAAGAATGTGAAACATATTGAATTCACGCAGGATGGCTTTAGAGGAGTCTGTCAGGACCAATTACTGACTGAGGCACTAATGCCCTGAAACACTATAATTTTCCACACCTCTTCAAAATGGCTGTTTGCAGTGACAGACACTTGACTATGAAATGGAAAGAATGTGCTTTCTGAGGTCACGTCCTTGTACTCTTTCACCATCTCTTCCTGCTTTATGTCGAAACCCTGTTAAATGTACAGTAAAAGCAAAAGCAACTTACACAGTAATCAACCCTTATACCTGTAAATACAAAGGTAGTCACTTCTCAATGCCTTCAGGGCCTTGTTGTCATTAATAGCCTGTCAGTCTGTTATATTTGCTATGAAAGTAAGTAAATGGTTGCGTAATAACCTTATTTTTTACTGACTTTACTGAATGCAGCTCTTTTATGTTGCATCGTGTTAAACATCGTCTTTACAGGCTGATGATTTTAATCTAGCACCAGATGATTTTAGTGTAATCCTCTTTTCACACAACTGCACAGTCTGCAAGCTGCAGCTGAGATGTATCTAGAGATCTAGAAAGTGAGACTGGAGAGATCTGTTTAAGCGCTGTATGTGATGAAGAGTCTCTCTTGGCATGTGGCATTGCTGTATTGTGGCTCTTTTGAGCATTGGAGGTATTACTGTGAATGCTGTATGCTAAATAATGATGGCGTGAACTCTAAATTAATCACTGAATTAATCAATGAACAAAAAAAATAATGAATGAATGAATGGATAGGGTTTGGTTCATAGTTTAATAATTGATTGTATTATATAAAACGTTAAATGGCGTATCCATGGTAGAACGTGATTTCACCAAGTGCAACATGTTTCTGGATTAACATCTATGTTGATCCTGGAACAACAATCCAATCAACCAATCAGATTTGAGTGAAGAGTTTATGGTTTATGTCAAGTTTTGGCTTACAACCAGGTTAGGTGCTTCTACTGTTATTCACCTATTATTTCCCTCTGACTTTTGGGTAGGGTTAGGTTTAGGGATGGGGATAGGCTAAGACAAAATTTTTCAGACAGGAATGTGGTTCCAGGGTCCCAGAAACGTGTCTAACTTGGCAAAATCAGGATGTGCTGTATACGGAAACTTTTCACCTGAATCAAGATCCCTGGGCTGCGAGAACATCTGCCAAATTCACATTTTTCCAGTCCAGTCCGTCTGACTGGACCGCTAAAGTTTACATTTGATGACCTTCCCTATTGCACAAAAGCATTTTTCATGCTGCATGTGATAAATCACTACAGCCTGCAGTGTTTGTTCCCTTTTGATGTGGGTGGCACAGATTTTCCCAACTTTGTGCGGCAACTTTTCTGGAAATGAGACTTTTTATGTAGTTCCTGCCAGATCATCAATAACGCCATGGCGTTTAATGCATATACTATTGTTTCAGAGCTCTATTGTGTTTTGATTTTATAATAGCGTCTGTCATCTTGTGGTTGTTTTGGATGGAGAACATTTTGAGGGCATTCTTATGTGAGCTAGTTAGAGCCCATGGGATGTACTTGTCTCCTTCGGTTTTTGTTGTATCAAGTGTGGGAGTGTAAAACTATCTTCTCTGATCTCTAAGATCTGGATGTACATTGTCCACTACTATTAAGTCTATTCTAGTTCTGATTAGCTGCGTCTTTAGAGAGTTGTCAGACTTGACATCTGCAGTCCACTTAGCGCCAGACGTGACAAGTGTCACAATGATTGTGCAATCACATCACAAGCAAGGTCACATCTTGCACCGATCACATACAGACATAAATCATTTTTTGGATGTATTTTCAGAATGCACACTACTGGAAAAGAAGCTCTGAACACATCCTGAAAATGTAGGTCAGAAACCATAACACAAGCATTGGATGACTGGACTTTAGGCTACTTATATTCTGATCAGGTCTAATTCTGTGTCTGTAGTAGCTGGTTTCTTAAGTGCAAATCACTAGGCATAAATTAAATAGCTCTGAAAATCTAGGGTTTTTTCCTGGGATTACACTGCCATCTCATGGTGAATGTGCACTTTGTGGCTGGGTGTGAACAAGAAAGCCTTGACAAGAGTGAGGTTGGACCCTTAAATTATGATGATTCAAAATTGAACTGAGAAGCCATGAAGTTTTGTTGAAATGTGATGCAAAACTGCAATATAATAATACTGCAGTTAAATTCAGAGAAATTATAATGTTGATAGAATCAAATACTGTTTGTTTTAAATATTATTTAAGTATACTTATCAATTTAACTTTCATTTTTTTTGGCTTATGGATATATTGGTCCAATTTACCTTAAATTACAAACAAAGCCAAAGAACCTCAGACTTTCAAAAGGCAAAGCTTTTTGTTGGACTTTACCTTTGTTGTGTTTGTGATCTTTTATGAATTGAAATCTTGCTGTCGGTTCGATTCAGCTTTTGGTGTGTGTGTCCAATTCCTCTAAATTTTGCCCAACTTTTTAAATATGAACTCTTTGCCATCTTTTAGAACATTTCCACTCAAAAATCAATCTCTCTCGTTCTTTTTCAGTATGCCGTACAGCCATGCCTGCAGATATTGTGTTCCTGGTGGACGATTCCTGGTCAGTGGGTCCGACCAGCTTCCAGCAGATCAAAGAGTTCATAGCAGACATCATCCGAGCCTTCCAGGGAAGTGTGGTTGGACAGGAAGGCATTCGCTTTGGAGTGACTGTCTATTCAGACTTGCCTAGGTCTGTATGCATATTGTGTGCTGCCTGTGTGAATACTAAATGATCGACCTTGTATCTTAACTGCTTGAATGTGTCCTTGTTCAGGATGCGTATAGCTGTGACGGATTATTCGACTCTGGAGGAAGTGCTCAGAGCCGTGGAGGAGTTGTCGTATGAGGGAGGCAGCAGCCGCACCGGCCTGGCATTGGAATTCCTCGTAGAGTCCGTGTTCAGTCCTTCTATCATCAGAGACAACTCTCCGAAGGTGAGATAACCCATCTGTGAGATAGAAAAAGACCAACTTTACTCTGCAAAGGTGGCACAGAAGGTGCTTATACAAAAGACAAGTTCACACACAACCAAAGCCACGTTGGAGCCACATTGGAGATTTTAAAATGGCTTTTATGCTGTATTCACAATTGAAGATTCAAAACTGCTGCATGGTATGATACAATCACAGCCAATCAAAATATATTTAATGTTATTGTACTGTTAGGAGGATAAGGATTATGGGCCAATGGCATTTCAAAGTGGGTGGGGCTACTCTCTTAAAAATAAAAGGATCCAAAAAAAATATAATTTTTTGCAGTGATGATGCCATAGAAGAACCATTTTTGGTTCCCCAAGAAACTTTCACTGAACAAATATAAATAACCTTTTGTGCAATGGAATGGATCCATGGATGGGAAAGTCACCATGAAATCAAAATGGACTATTCTTTTTTTATACTATTATGGTATATTGCAGTATTTATTATAAATGATTTATCCTTGCACATCCTGACTTTTTTGGTGTATGACATCAAAGAAGCAATTCAAAAAGCACACTGAGCCGTCTGGACAAAATGAAGTCAAGCTCTAAATGTTTTCTTGTTTGAGAAGCCGTCTCACTCAGATATAAGCTACACCAAAATAGGGAAGAAAAAACTTTCTTCATGGATCTATAGATTCCAATAAAGCACATTTATGTTTAAGAGTATAGCTACCCAGCATGAAGCCACATAAATGGAAACCAATCAAACCTCATGACACCTCATTTGGTTAGGACACAATCTAAATACAAAATACTGAACCGTAATCATATATGAAATGTATTGAAATGCTAAATTTCCAAATGAAACATCCAGTCACATACACACAGAACAACCTTATAATTATATCTCAAAGAGCTGCACCTGCAGTCACTTCATTGATTGTGTCAGGACATCACGTCCTGCGCTGCAGTGCACACACTCTACTCCGCAGTGTCCCACCCATCCTAATTTAGGGCTTGATTAGGATTCCAAACTGCACATAGCTGCTGTCTTGCTGTGGAGCACCTGGTATGAGGAAACGAGCAGGCATTTAAAATGAACTGCAGAGATTTACCCCTTTTTAAAACTCTCTTTAACATACTGTAATGGTGCATAAAGATGAACCCAGACTCAGCTCGGACAATGCGGTGAACTTTCGGTGACCCACGAGATGTTTCTTTTTCAGAATACTCATTTGTGAGTCAGTGTAAGCGACTTTGCAAGTTTGGATCTGCTGCGGTTGGGGAATTATGTATGCAATGAGATGTTAATTCATGCTGTGTGCTTTCAAGGGCATCAGTATCAGCATGATACTCTTAATGGCAGATTGAGTCCCTTAATACAAATTCACACTTTTGGGTGGATTTCATGAAAGCTGTTAAGACAGTTCTCATTTTTGTTTCTTATCACTGTAGTTGTTAAGTATACATAACCTTTATGAGGATTTAAATAAAACACATTTTTTTCTTTAATGCGGTATTACGGTAATGAGAATTCTTCTTGTTGAAAATAATGGGGATAGTAAAAGTATATATGATGACTCATTACAGTAATGAAAATCAGAGCGTTAACAATGCTTAATTATCCTAAAAAATGTCACAATGCAAAATAATAATAATTAAAATAGTCCTAAATGTAGGCCTTATTTTCTTTCCTGGTAGCACTTTATTTTACAGTCAAGTTTTACATCTAAGTCTTATGTATTTATATATAATAACTAGTTTCTAAGTAACACTAAACCTAAGCTCAACCCATACTGTATAATTACTCAGTACTTTCTCATGTAAGTACACTGTAAATGCACATACCGTAAAATAAAGTGCTATCTTTTTTCTTTGTGGTTAAATGTAAGGAGGACATTTCTCGATAGTCTTTGTGAGATTTACTCTTTAACATATTTTTTGTACATCTTTGAAATTTAATGCCTGTGGCATGTCTAAGGGGGATCTATAAGTATGACCCACTTTTATTACTTTGTGCGGTGACTGGCTTTACAGTATATTTCTGATGTTAGAAGCAGTCTCACAATAGACATGTATTTCACTCTAAAAATGACATGGAAGAAAGGAAAACTGTTTTCCAAAAAAATGTTTGCATTGTAGCATTATATTAATTACAATTAAGCACGTTTTGAGGTTCTTCAGGTTTTGTAAAATTCACCCATTTGCATGTTGGGATACAAAGCATCACATTATGCTTCTTTCTGGCTTCAGATTGCTATTCTGATCACTAATGGCCAATCGGATGATCCAGTGGACGGTCCAGCTAGAGCTGTTACAGACAGTGGAATTTCACTGTTTGCTGTGGGTGAGTTTTCTGATTGTGTGTGTGATTGTGTGCTTGTGTGTGTGCGCAGACTCCTTTATGTTTTGACGTGTGACTCAGAGTAACCGTAGTGGAGTGATTTACACTGAATGGTAGTATTGGTGAATGTGCCAAGACATAAAACGTGTATGTTTGTGTGTCAGCCTTGTTTCCTTGACTTTCTGACGCTCTTTCTGTTTTGACGCCCAGAGTGCTGAAATAATTATGGCTCATTACCCGGTGGCCAACTAATTGCTGTAATTTTTCATCAAGCTCATTCCTCCTTGCTCCCCTTCAACACACACACACACACACACACACACCGTGTCCTGCCTTTCTAATCAGTTTTCCCAGAGAGATCAGGCCGTTTGACACATGTACAGCAAGGCGACATGGCATGACATTCTCCCATCATCACTCTACAGCTGATAACACTGCAGACTGGTCTGAGACATATGAGGGTCACTCATGTACACACACACACACATCTTGAATTAAAGAATTGACTGCACCCTTCAGGCCTCCATGGTATATGTATATATATATATATATATATATATATATATTTTTTTTTTAAATAAAGTCACTTTGGAGCTGTGGTATAGTGACAAGTGAATAGCCTTGGTTTGAGTTTGGCCTGCAACATGCCCTGATCCCTGATCTGTAAGAAATGAAGTAGATCTGTGTTGAAGCTAATCTGTTCCTGGGTGATGTGTGTTGTGTGTTCTTCAGGAGTGAGGAATGCAGATCAGTCTGAGCTGAAGAAGATCGTTACAGAACCCCATGAGGAACATTTAATGCTCAGCCCAGATTTCTCCTTCCTCGAGCACCTGCTGCCCAAACTCTCCCGCCGCATCTGCTTCACTGCTTCAGAACCTCCCCGACCTGTGAAACAAAAGCCACCTGGTAAAATTATCATGAGTTTTACTAATGAAACTTAAGACTTATCTTTTTTTGTATTTATTGCATTTCAAGCTTGTCTAAACACAGTTGGCCCGCTTGTTAAACTCTGCCCTCCTTGGTTACTGTTGCTTGTGTAGACAAGCTTTATATATTATACATTTAGATATAATACATGGGAGATTTAAATGAACGCTTTATAGGTTTATCATATAGGTTTTGATTTCAATTTTACTTGGCCTGTGATATTTTTATTTATTTTATTTTTTAAAAACCGCAAAATTACACAAAAATGGCCAAATTACAACTAATTTCACAAATGAAAATTATGGAGTTCAGTTTTCAGCTCATTAAAAGTGTCTGCAATGTTAGTATCATTATCCAGCTCAATTCCTTTCAAATTTTGTTCTCATCCAATAGTGTCAGTGCAGTTAAATCGATAATAGGACTATATATGAATTGTCTTATTAACCCCTTTCTTTTAATAGTGATTAAACGTGACAACATTAATGTATTAATTGAACACTTTCATTATGATACTGTGATATAATTTAGCTGCCATTGCTCTTATTTATGAACTTAAATATAAATAAACATTCATTTTAGTGACAACATTCATAATGATTTCATATGTGTTTGTTTGGGAATGCTTGCTTGATCGATAGATTGAACCTCTCAAGATTTATCAGAAAGATATCTACCTCAAAATAAAGATCTTAAAAAAACACACTCGATCCTCTCTCGTGTCATTAAATAAATTACAGTATTTACTGATACTTTCCATATCAGACAGAGAGCAAAAATTCAGTTGCAATGTAGAACAGGTCCGCAACATTAGGAAGGCTAGGAGTTAATTCTATCATGTTTATCTGTATGCTGTTCTAGTGCTGGAGAGGATAGTCGGACCTAAAGATCTGCAAGTGAGTGAGTTGAGCTACAGCTCTCTGCAGCTGACCTGGAGTCAGGCCACAGGAGATGTGACCGGCTACAGGCTGCTCATCACCCCTGTGTCTCCAAAGGGCCATCTGCTCCCAGCACAGCAGAGACAGGTGAGACACGCTCACCTGTCCACTTGCACACCCCATGCAGCACAGCAGATGGAAGGCTGCACATGGACTACTTTTGTTTTGTGGCAACCTTGATTATGTATTTGTGTGTGTATGTTTTGTTCAGAATATATTATTTTCTTTTTCTCCATCACAGATTGATCTGAAGGGAGATATTAGCACCACTCCAGTAACCGGGTTGAGTCCTAAGACTGAGTACTCTCTCACTGTATACGCCATCTACCCCGGACGCATTGGAGAATCTGCCACTATCATCACAGAAACCAGTGCGTGTCAAACTGTATACACTCTTTGAAGAAAAGGTTCCTTATATAACCTTAAATGATTCTGGGTCACTGAACAACATCCTGGAACAACATTCCTGTCTGAAAATGTTGTCCTACCCATAAGTTATCCCTTAAATCAGAGGGAAATGATAGGTGAATAGCACAGATGTAGAGCCTAATCCTGGTTGTAAACCTTAAACTGTAAACTTGTTCCTCAAATCTGATTGGTTGATTGGAAGGGTCCGCATAGATGTTAATCCAGAAACATGTTGCACTTGATGAAATCACATTCACCAAGGGTTTTTTCAAGTGCTTCATTCATTGAACCTTTTTAGGTTCATTCATTTTTCGTGAATTTAGTTCATTAATCACTAGAAAAAAAAAATTAATAAGCCATTAGACATGAGAGTAATTTGCAATTTAAGACATTTCTCCTAGAACCTCACTTAACCTCTTTATCCTAAGTGTGTACACCAAAATGTCTCTAAACATGATAAATGCACTTTAAAAGGGCATGCATATATATTTAGAAAGGAATGATCTTTCTTATTTTTTGTACGAAAACTTTCCCATTGCTGAATTGAATTTCCCTGCATGCAAATGTACGCTTTCTTTTCAGCTGTTGTGCCACCGGTTGCGAACTTCCGAGTGATTGAAGAAGGACTTTTCTTTTTACGCATGGGATGGACGCCTCCGCTTGGAAAAGTGAATGGATATAAAATCTATGTTCCAAGAAGTGGGTAACCAGCAGACTTTCACAGACCGAATATGAGAAACTTTACAAATGTCGTTTTAAAATATTCCTACATTTATTCTCATATATCTTTTCCTCCTCAGTGGACAGACCCGGGCTTATTTATGAGCAGATGCTGACGGGCGACGCCTCCTCTCATGTGATTGACACCTTAGAAGAGGATAAAGATTACAAGGTCAACATCTATGCCATCTACCCAGAGGGCACCAGTGAGCCTGTATCTATCACCGGAAAAACTTGTTAGTCTATTTCCTCTTTGTTTCTTCCCCTCATATTTCCCCTCAAGTCTGCTCTACCAAAAGATAAGTGTGTGTCGTCATGATGGTATCAAAATCCATGCTGCATTCAGTGTTGCTTTTAGAGTGGTGCATGCAAACAAATATTTCCTCTATTTCAGTCCTCCTATGCATAGGCTATACATAGAGGAAGGCTCTGTAAAATATAGTGTAGCTATATACATTATTATTATTATTATTATCATAGGACTATGAATAACAATTAGTGACAATTTTAGCCTATATGAAATTGTTTGGCTTGGAATTATTGTGTGTGTCGCTGGTTTAACCACTAGATGGCAGTTTAACACATGTCTTCATGAAAAAATCCTGCAGTAAATACTTTATGATTCTTGTCATGCATTATCATCCCACTCAAAACGCTGTGCACTTCTCATTCTCTGGATGTTGCAGTGAAACTGGTCCCAGTTGATCAACTGTTGGTCCAGAACGCCACTACAGACACAGTTCAGGCCCGCTGGTCATCTGTCAGAGGTGCCACAGGGTACAGACTCACCTGGTCATCATCAGGTAACAAGTACTGAGATGCTTTGATAATAAATACAGCCTGTTTTAAAACATAAATATAAATGCAAATCTCTGCTTGCCTATTTCCGTAGAGGGACACATAGAAAATGTGAACCTAGGAGACAACTTTAATTTCTACATGGTGCAGGGCCTGCATGCTGGCACGGAGTACACCATCACTATCAACCCTATCTTTGTGGACATTGAAGGGCCTGTTACCTCTGCCAAAGCCAAGACATGTGAGTGCAGCAGGTGCACTTTAAGGGAACGTTCACACAGGACGCATGCTTGCTTTGAAAGACATATAGACAGAGCCAACTGAATGAAACAGGTCTTAAGATGTTATTTAACTTGACACAGTGTCTTAAAAATAGAAAGAAATGCTACATAAAGCAGGAAGAAACAATGCTGATAATTAATCACCCCAAATAGCAAACATATTTTTAGTTTTGCTAACGTTCCCATTAACTGTTTTTTTTTTTTTATAAATGTTCTCTAAACATTTCAACATAAAGTCCTCCTGTAGTCAATAATTGTATCCCCTAAAACTCATCTTTGATCACAAAAATGGCATATTTAAAAGTTTTTTTTTTCTTCTGGACAGCTTGAATGAAGGCTAACTACATGCTTGCTTCTTTTAGGAAGCGTAGTCATGAATATGCAAATGAGCCCCTCCTCCACTCACTAATACAGGTTCATCTAAGTCCATGTATCAGAATGATAATCCATTGTATGTATCACTCTCTACAATGTCAGACACATAACGGTAATTTATATGATTAACCTTTTTCTTGACTAAGTTATCAAACAGCTAATAATGTGTTGCTAATGTTACAAAAACCATGTTCCCGTTCACAATTTCAGAGTCAGACAGCTGCCTCCTGAAAGTCATTACCCTTAGAAAAGCTTAAAATATCAGTGGAGAAAAGCATATAGTTCATCATAACATTGTAATAGGCCTATGCGTCATATGCATAATTCACCCGCTATATAGCTAAATGTAGCCGATATAATTACATATCGACAGATAAATGTACCAGGATAACCAGGCTTCTCTTGAGACTCCCCTGCTTCGATTTATTAATGATATGTTAAAGCCTGCACGTTGACGGGATTGGTTACAGGGTAGTTGGTGACGTAAAAAACACCAGCAATTTCAAACCTTGTTTTTGAGACAGTCTTTAATTCACTGCAGTTTTAAGGAGAAAAATAGTCAGCAATGGTGTTGCCTTATGAATTTGCACATGGTTTGTCTTAAAGTAAATTAAAAACACCCTGTTAATATACCCCTGTCTAACCCTGTTAGCTGGGATACAATTTAGGAAGATTATGATGCTCTCTCTCTCTCTCTCTCTCTCTCTCTCTCTCTCTCTCTCTCTCTCTCTCTCTCTCTCTCTCGCTCTCTCTCTCTCTCTCTCTCTCTCAGTGGAAAGCAGTGCAGTACAGACCCTGAGAGCATCTGCGGTGAGCACTAGCAGCGCTGTTACCTTGTGGAATGCTGTACCTGGAGCCACAGGATACAGACTGGCCTGGGGTCCTACTGCAGGTACCTCAAAAAGTGCCTGTGCTGTTCTCTGAGGATCTCATTGTCCTGAACTTGGCCATTCTCCACTTTCCAATTTCACTTTGTAGTCAGTTTCTCTTTTTTGTCACTACTTTCCTTTTATTTCCTCTCCCCTCTCTCTCTCTCTCTCTCTCTCTCTCTCTCTCTCTCTCTCTCTCTCGCTCGCTCATTCTCTCTCTCTCTGATTTATAGTCTCTTTTTCATGGAAGCGACAGGTTGGTGACAACATGAGGTGTCGCTGTGCCGCCTCATGACTCATGCCGTCAACTTTATCTGTGTGTTTAGGAGAATTTGTGTGTGTGTGTGTGTGTTCGGGGCTCTGTGTGGAAAAAATGAATTGATGTCACCTCTGAGCACCTCCTAAAGAAGAGTCTTTGAAAGTGACACCTTTCTGTCACTGTGATGGGCTGGAGGCCCCTGCTTTAAAAGAACCTGGAAGAACATTCTGAGGATGAAGTGCTCTGTGACTCATACCACACGCTCTGACACATACATATAGATGAGTCTGAGGATGAGTTTATGGAGAAAGGGGAGAGAAATGATGGGCGAGAGAGGCTAAATTAGGTGTTCAATGTTTAGTATTTAAAAAAAAAGAACATTAGTGCTGTCAAATAGATATTGTGACCAATCGCTTCTAACATCAAATTTTGTTTACATATATACAAATTACATATATATATATACACAGACACATACACACACACTATATATATATATATATATATATATATATATTTATATATACACACACACACACACACATATATATATATATATATGTGTATATATATAGTATGCGTGTGTATGTGTGTGTGTTTGTGTTCGTGTCTGTGTTTATGGTAAGTGTGATGTGGTATATATGTGCGTGTGATTAATCGTTAGGTAGGTGCGTGCAATTACTCGTTTTGACAGCACTAATGTATATATATATATATATATATATATATATATACAGTGTATATGTATATACTCATCCATTTATATGAATGCATTATTGTATGTGTGTTGTAAGAATTTGTATTCCTGTATCATCAGAAAATGTATATACTGTATAATATGCAAGTACACATATTTTGCATGTATATTCATATACATGTACATACCTCTTTTATATATGTATTTATGCGTTTATGTGAAGAGTTCACAGGGAGAGATCGGCCCAGACAGCTGGCTCTGAATGGCAGCACTACAGAGTATGTTTTGAAGAATCTGGTCCATGACACAGAGTATGTGCTCTCTCTTTACGTGCTCTTTGGTTCTGTGGTTGGCCCAGGCATCACCGCTACATTCAGAACCTGTGAGTGACCTGAAACTTTCTCCTGTTTTTTTGATAAACACATTCTGACAGTTAGCAGTGACTTCAGCTGCTTATTGGTCAAGTCTTATGTCATGCTTTCTGCTCCCCAGCACCCCTCGGATACGTGTCAAATTTTAAAGTAACGTCATACACCAGCTCGTCCATCGATGTTGAATGGAGTCCTATTGTAGGGGCCACAGAGTACAAACTCACCTGGAGTTCGGGTAAAAACTGTTCATCTACAAAATCACAGTCCACGCTGTTACAATAAGGCCTATAAAATTATAACTCGTTATTTTGATTTGTGTTGTGCATGTGTGTGTGCTTTTGCTCCCAGAATTTGAGCGTTCTCAGAGTCGTTTTCTTGACCGCAGCATTTTACAGCACAGCATCACTGGTCTTCAGCCACACACGCTTTATTCTGTCAGCATTCATGCTCTCTACAGCAACACAGAAGGGCCAGAAATCTCCCTCTCGCAGCAAACAGGTACTTTTTACAACTATCTATCTATCTATCTATCTATCTATCTATCTATCTATCTATCTATCTATCTATCTATCTATCTATCTATCTATCTATCTATCTATCTATCTATCTATCTATATATCTATCTATCTATCTATGACTGTCAATATCTGTCTGTCAATTATCTTTCTATCTATTTGCACATGAAGGTGGGTAGTTTTAAATGACGACAGAATTATCATTTTTGGGTCCTTTAATATGCATTTCAAGGCTGAGATCGTCTGCAGAGCTAATATTACTTAGCCTACACAAAATAACATCTAAAGTATGTGACGAATATGAACATCAGAAAAATATTTATTAGGTTAACAGGCAGACGGACAGTTGTTCAAAATAACCCCAAATCTAATAACTTACCATGATAAATTGCATTTAAACAGATGCAACAAATAAAATGAAGAAAAAAAAACATTATCTGTCGATATCTGTGTTTGTATAATGTTGGCCACTGAGAGTAGGCTATAATAGAAATATAATTAACCACAAACCAGCAAAATGAGACTTCAAGTCTTTTAAATAAATTATTTTCTCTTCTCTCTTCTTTTGGTATAGAATAAAATACCAGTTCAGGGTTCCTTTTTCGGCTGTTATTGCAGCCAAGTGCACAATATATTGCTGGCATTAATGTCGCAAAGATGGCGGCGCAAAGCTACAGTGATGTCACGTCAACCGAATGAATAGACATTAGACTAAACAAATGTGTGAACAGTCAATTACTAACCTTTAAAAAAAGTAATATCTGATTTTACATATTTGTTGCCATTACAAAGTAACTCCATAAACCCTAAATCGTAAATTAAATCTAGATTTAAAATGATAACCCTCACAATTCTGCTTTTAAATCCTCCAAAAATTGGCCCTGTTCACTGCCATTGTAAGTGCCTCAATGTATCTTTGATTTTTGCTTCTCTCTCTTTTTTTTAATAATATGTTTTATTTATTTTTATTTATTTAATGGTTTTATGTGGTAATTGGTTGGAAATTAGCTTACTTACCTACTCACTTTCCTACTTAAACTGTAGGAAAGCTGTACCAACAGTTCTTGATCTATTTTGTTTGGTTTGACTGCTCAGTTTGTCTCTCTGTCTCTTTAAATGACAGCTGGTTGACAGTCATTTATCAGAGCCATGAGAAGAAAACTCTGCTCTGTTAATTAAACACTTCAGACAATCAGGGTTCGGGGATATGGAAATGTTCCGCCCATTGTTCCAGTGGGATTGTGGGATATCAGGAGATTGATTGACAGCTCCTGTGTTTGAGCCCCCATCTTTAGGACAACAGCTATATATAGAGCAGTATTTTGTACTTCAGTACTGGAGCTCTGTGTGTGTGTGCGCGCATGCGTGTGTATGTGTGTTTCACTGCTGTCAGCCTCACTGTTATCAGCAGCACATCTTCACAATAAAACGGCTACAGTACACTTAAAACAACGCAAAAACAAATATAAAAATGTATAAGTTTTTACTTAAATATGTCTTACAAATTGGACTATAATCCTTCAAGGGGCTTCTAGATTTAATATCTTAAAAATATTAAATAGAAAATTAATATATTTGAATGAATTTCATATGTGAATTAATTATAATTGAATAATTTTTCAATAATACATACGTTTCATTGACTTTTATCAAACCTGGTGTCATAATAGTTGTGCCATATTGTTTTGCAGCTTCGTTAACTGACTCTGAGCTGATTGAGACAGTTCGGGAGGTAAAAGTTGTGGACATTGGCGCCAGTTCTTTTAAACTGGCCTGGAAGAAAACTCCAGGGGTCACTGGGTACAAGATCACATGGAGCCCCTTTCATGGTGGGCACCAGCAGTCCCCATTACACTCCATTATCATTGCATTTCATTATAATCCATCCATCATCTTCACTCTTCTGTGTATTTTCTCTTAGGTGGAGAGAAGAAGAGTGAGGTTGTATCTTCTTCTGCCACGTCCTTCACCATCACTGATCTGCCTGCAAGTTCTGCCTACAAAATCCAGGTTTCAGCAGTGGTCAAAAGCAAAGAGGGAAGCCCAGTAATGGTGACCGCCCGCACCTGTGAGTCTGCCTGTGTTCATGGAAATGTACATCAGTAAGCATGCAAATGTAAGTATTTTAAAGACGAAATGCTGTTGTGTTACAGTGGATCTGCCCAAAGTGACTGGATTTAGTGCTCTGAACACCACCGACAACAGCACTGTACTGAACTGGACCAGAGTGACAGGAGCGTCAGGATACCTGCTGTCCTGGAGACACATATCAGGTCAGAAAAAGAAGCATCCAGACTGCATCCACCTTTACTCAAAAATCCTAAATGTGCACACAGAAATATTTCTGTTGAAATGAAGGATATCTTATGAACATGCAAAAACATGAATATAGTATATATGGCATAGGCCTACTGTATAGTATTTAAATTATCTTTTTTAAAATACATGTTAAAAATTGTGCACATTGGCTGATAATCGGATACAATTAATAATAAAATAAAAAAACAATTATAGATTATTTAAATATTATATAATATATCGAGGTGATTGACCTAGCTGAAGCCTGGCTCTAGGCTCAACCACTGCTCAGATGTTTAGGAGAATGACTGTTTATTTGTTAATGAGTGTTGCTAAATGGCAGGGCAAAACAATTTCAGATAAGCTCTTGTAATAAGAGTTCCTCCCACAAAAGCCATTTTGTCTCATATGAGATGTAAAAAAGACGAGCGTAGATAATGTCATGATGAGATCTGTGATTCATTCCTGTTATGGCGATGACGTCAACGAAGCCTTCTAATGAGGGTGTCCTTTGCTTGAACATGAAGGTTATGAGGGGTTTAAGGGTGGCTTTTATTCTTAAGCTTTTGACTCTTACAAGACCGTTACATTTTTATGTTTTCTTGAACATTCTTGAAGTGTTTAAACTGGTGTAAAAGATTTATGACGTATCTCAAGTATTTTGAGTCATTTATTTGATCCTTTTGCAGACAATAGACTCTCCAGATGTTCCAGTTTTTAGTGTCCTTTTCCTATTTAGTCACATTGATTGTGTCATTATTCTGTCTTAATGCAAATGCCTCTCTTTATGTTCTGTGTAGAGGTGGACTTCTCCTCTGATCTGCTGAGCTCTGGATTCACCTCCTATACGATCCAAGATCTCCAGTATGGCAGAACCTACATCTTTTCCATCAGACCACTTTATGGGGAAGTGGAGGGTCCAGTCACAACCATCACTAAAAGGATCCGTAAGGCATTATCCCTGCAAATATCATTAGCATTTTATATTTTTAAATGCTAATCACTTATATCGCAAGGCACGATCGATGTGTTAGACTGTTCATGTCATTAGGTAGTATCACAACTCATTATTTAGGAAAGTTTATGTATTTTTAAAACACACAACCGTTTGAAAGTTTAAAATTAGTAATTTAATTTATCAAATGTGACAGTAAAGACATTTATAATACAGCAAATAATTTCAATTTCAAATAAATGCTGTTTTTCTAAACTTTCTATTCATCAAATAATCCTGAAAAACAAATCATGATTTCCTCAAAAATATAACTGTTTTCAACATTGATAATAATAAGAAATGCTTCTTGAGCACCAAATTAGCATATTAGAATGATTACTGAAGAATAACGCGACACTGAAGTAATGACTGCTGAAAATTCAGCTTTGCCATCACAGAAATTACGTTTTAAATTATGTAAAATAGAAAACAGTTGAATTTGTGTTTTACTTTTGATCAAATAATTGCAGCCTCTATGAGACTTCTTTGACAAACATTTAAAAATTTGGTAACTCTTTACTCTCACACATCAACTGATTTTAACCCTACCAGTCTACTAATACTCTACTAATGAGGGTTAGTTAGTTGACATGTATTGTAAGTCCAACATTACTTTTATTCAACTGAATGTGTTAAAGGGACCATCAAAATAAAGTGAAAGTAAAAATCTTACCGACTGCAAACTTTTAAATGGTAGTGTGTAGGCCTACTAAAAGTAAACACTGGTTTATTTGAGCTCAGGAGTTTTTTTCTTTTCATCTTACAGTGGGAGCTCCTTATCTCATTCCTGTCCAGAGCTCCACGCCGGCCTCTGCCTCCGCTAACAACAACGACATGCACCTCCACACCACAGCCAGAAACACTCGCACCCCAGTGGACAAAGCCCCCAGCACACCCACCACCACTCAGAGACTCGCTGTGAGGCCTCAGATCACAATCGGTCGAACGGCCTCAGCACTGACCAGAATTACTACAGTAAATGACCAAACCACCCTGTCTGTCGAGACGCCCCCACCTGGACCAGGTCATTCAAATTAAACGTTGTCTCAATCAGGTTTAAATCAATATTGTGGACTTAAAATGTATAAAATTCTGCTTGAGATATGTTTTAAAGGAGGATTTAAGGGATTAGAATTTTTTTATGCACCCAAAACAATCATTGTTTAATCACTTTTACTTTTTATACTTGTAAATGTCCCTTTTGCATGTGAAATTTTAAACAAGAACCCTTTCTAACAGGCAGCTTTAAATATACTGCTCAGTTTGCAGAAATATACCACAAAAATAGACTATTAATCGTTGTTTTCCCATAATTTGAAGCTTATAAGAAGTGCAAGATGTGCACAAAAAAGCAACAGGTGCTAAAAAAAAAATTTCTTCTTCCTGTTCCTTTTTTTTCATTCATGCACGTTATGAATGAATGGATGAATGAATGAATGAACATTTATGTATGACTTAAATCAGTCATACATACTTATGACTTAGTACCTGCCCCCCAAAAAACATATTAAAATTTAAAGGGCCGGTTCACACAAAAATACAAATTCTGTCATCCTTTACTCATCCTCATGTTGTACCTGTACGACTAAAGATATTTTGAAAAATGTTATAAGAATGACCGTTTCGGCCATTGATTTCCATTGTATGGACAAAAACACAGAAGAAAGAAAGTCCTTCAGGTTTGGAACACGAGAGTGTCGAAATGATGACAGAATTGTTTTTGGGTGAACAATCCTTTTAACTGTATCTCCAAAAGAAGACATTTTACTAAACTGTCTACCCCCTCTAAACAGTACGTGAATGTGTGAATGACTTGTGTGCATCTGTCTGTTAGTGTGTGGCAGGGTGAAAGCAGATATTGTGTTTTTGGTCGATGAATCCTGGAGCATTGGTACTAATAACTTTGGCAAACTGAAGGATTTCCTGTTCAGAACCGTCACCTACTTCCCCACTATAGGACCTAAAGGAACACAGGTAGGAGATGCTATTGCTCTAGCATATATCAGATTAAGAACTTTACAGTTCTGTGTCTTCGTCTCTGAATCAATAGTCTCAATCATTTGCTCTAAACATCAAACATCTAATGATTTATGTGTGGAGTGAACCATCTCATGAACTTCCCTTAGATAGCAGTAGTTCACTACAGTGATCAGCCCAGGATCGAGTTCCACTTTAACTCTCATAAAGACCGCAGCTCCGTTTTGAGAGCCCTCCGAGAAGTCCACTATGGAGGAGGGAACACAAAAACAGGTTTATATGCACATTTACAGATCCAAAATTGTTGATGACATAGGGTGCAATCTGATCTGAAATTTGATGATTGTGAATGGGTGTGTGTAGGTCGTGGGATCAGCTATGTCCTTAGGGAAATGTTTCAGGAGTCTCTTGGTATGAGACAGGATGTCCCTCACCTTTTAGTGTTGCTGACCGATGGAAGAGCTCAGGATGATGTAGAACCACCATCCAGAATAGCGCATGCTCTGGGTGAGTAATATAAAATAGCCAAACACATCAATTTATGTCTAAATATACACTAACGATAACAATTTTGGAGTCAGTCATTTTTTAAAAAGAAATCTCTTTTGCTAACCAAGGCTGCATTTATTTGATGAAATATTATTACCCTTCAAAAATGACTGTTTCCTATTTTATTCTATTTTTGAATGTAATTTATTCCTGTGATGAAAAAGCTGTATTTTTAGCATCATTACCCCAGTCTTCAGTGTCACATGGTAATTCAGAAATAATTCTAATCTGATTAGTTGGTGTTCAAGAAACATTCTACTTTCATTTTTGAAAATGGTTGTGCTGCTTAAGATTTCTGTGAAAACTATGATACTTTTTTTTCAGGATTCTTTGAGTAGAAAGTAGTATTGAACCTTCAAAAGAGTGTTTATTTAAGCTAGATATTTTCGATAACACACAATATGTGTGCACTAATAAGCATTAATTTATGCTTAACTAATGCACCGATAATACCGAATTAATGTGTAACTAATGATTATTTAAGCTACTCATTAATGATTACCACATTCGGAACTAATAAAAAGTCTGTACGGTTAATGTATTAGTTCATACATTGTTATTAATTAAATATGCGATTGTGGATTAATTTCCATAATAACTTATTTTTTTAACTAATAGTGTTAATTAATATGTTAATGACAGGTACACTAATATGCATTAATACATGATTAATTACTACATTGTTAGTGCAAATTCATGTGCAAATTACTACAATTACTAAATGAAGAGTTAATAATGATGTGCCCCAACAAGTAAAGTCATAACATAATGATACATTTGAAAATCATTAGCTAATGATTTATTAAAGCAGACAACTGGAAATTGAAGTGCATAGCTTTGACTAATTGTGGTAATTAACACATTAATTTACACTATTAGTTAATAAAATATGTTATTAAGGAATTAATACACAATTACACATTGAATTGATAGCAATTCATGTATTACGTAATCTATTAATCATATAGATTCTTTATTAATTGCTGATGCAGTAATCATTAATTAATGGTTTAGTTCTTCATGAGTTATACATTAACTCATGATTATCTGTGCATTAGTTAAGTATGAATTAATGTATATTAGTGCACCTGTATTGTAAAGTGTTACCGAAAATTATTTTTAGCGTCACTTTTGATCAATGTAATGTGCCCTTGCTTAATAAAAGTATCGATTTATTTATAAAAAATAATATTGCACTGATCCTAAACTTTTGAATGGTAGCATAAGTATACTTTATGACACTTTAGTATCTTTAGTACTAGTAAAGGCCGAACTTCAGTTTTTGGTATATTTGTGTTTTAGGTGTCAGTGTTTTGGTCATCGGCATCGCTCACGCAGATATTGAGGAGCTGAGGAAAATCGCCTCCCCCACCACTTACAAGAACATCTTCTTCGCCAGTGATTTTGACGATCTTCCGTCCATCGAGAGAGAGTTTATCAGCAGCATCTGTAGCGAGGCCTTACTATCAGAGTTCAAACAACACGACGAGGTGGGTCGTGCAGATCAGTGTGGAATAATGGGTAAAAATTTCACTATACATACTGCAAAAGTCAAAATTGTCTATGTCTTTGTTGTAGTCTGCTCAACTGGACACACCTACAGATGACCCAGAAGCTCTCGCTAAACCAGAAGGGCCCAGCTGTCCGCTCAGCTGCAAGGTAAACGCTCCCTCTACATCCTCATTACAGCTGTCACACCATGTCTTATACGAAACCTCATTCCCAGTTTGTTGTTGTTCACAGGGTCAGAAAGGAGAGAAGGTAAGCGGCTACTGTGTGCGATTCGATCATAGAATTATAACTGATGAAATGATAATATCTCATTTCTCCGCTGCAGGGTGATGGATTGGGTCATGGCGGCTTGGTATGTTTGACAGTTTCAGCTCTTTCCTTCTTTCTCTCTAATCTCAATGGCTCACTTCATAATTCTGTTTGAACTCTGACAGACAGTCTTTCTCACTTTGTTAGAGGCCTTTACTAATGTAACATCAGTATTGTTATTGCTCATACTTAGAAATAGGGGTTTGGATAAACCCTCAACCCTAAAGGCCTCTTCACACCAAGAATGATAACTGTGTTATATTTGCCTGACATATGATCCATTGGACTAAAACTTCCCATCGACTTACATTGAAAGAGTATTTTTAGGGACCAAAGTATCACAGAGATTTACAGTGGGCCCAGCTTAAACTTAGTTTTTCATCTAATATTTTGTTTTATTTCAGGTATTTCAATCAATAAGAATAGTTTTAAGAATAGTTATTTTAATTAATTAAAATAAAATTAATTAAAAAAGAATAGTTAATTTAATTAACGATAACAACTGGTTTTGCACACACAATTTCTTCAGAAAATATAAAAATTGACTGTCTTGCAATATATATATATATATATATGCATATTATGGTACATGCACATTACTAAGATATTAGCTATTTATTAGTACTTATAAAGCACATATTAATGACTTATTCAATTTCTAACTAACTATAAGCAGTTATTAGGAGTTTATTGAGGCAAAGTTGTAGCTTATAGTTAGGTAATAGTGGGAATTTGGACCCTAATCTGTGACCGTGTTTCTTTTTCAAATATGTTTCTGTGGACACAGCGACTCAAGCAAGGCTCAGGGCATTATGACTCATTCTCTCTAAAGGTCAAAGGGGAGAAGGGTGAGCGGGTGAGTACATCCAACATCCGAAGAACTCATGCCGTTCCACCGCACAAACTTAAATACACATAAATGAAACACCCCAGTCCTCTCTGTAATTACACGCTTATGTTTATGTTAATTACCTGAGCATTTATTATTTAAACCGAGCTGTTCTGTTAATGATGAGATTGTGTTTGTGGCTCGGTTGTTGTTTTAGTAGATTAAAGGATTAAATCGAATTAATAATATCACAGATCTTTCTCAATGCGGGGTGCTATTCATATACTTTCATTTTTTTTCTCTTTCTGTTTTCTCTTTGAGAAGGCGACACATGAAAGTGCTTGTCATATCAAAGCGACTCTTGATAACAAATGAAATGTGACAGGTCTTGCTAACAAGATCAGCGTTGTTGTAGATGTTTCCTTATTTATTTTTGTGATATGTATCCATGTGAATGCGTGGATTTGATATTGCTCTATATTTGATTTCAAAGCAAAAATGCAGTGAAGATGTTCTGATGTTATATTTGAGCAGCATCAAACAATGTCTTTATTTGTGTGTGTTTTGTTTTATTTGTTTGTTATTTTTATATGTATTATTCCCAATCCACACCCATTTATCAGGGTCTTCCCGGAACGGATGGCATCCCAGGGTTACCAGGACGACCAGGTCGGACCGGACCTCCTGGTTCTCCTGGACAAAGGGTAATGGATGAATTAAAATTCAAGCATCAGTCTAGTACCGCAAAATATGTAATGAATGTGTCTTATTGAGAAGATTTTGTTAATTAAATGTGTAAATGTGCCTAAACAATCTCAAAATCTGATTTAGGGAACACCTGGAGTTCCTGGTGACATGGTGAGTGTCTCATTAAATCTCACAGTGTAGGTGGTGGTATTTAAATCTGTATATTCTGGAAATTGTAGTTAGTTCACTCATTTAAAGCATGTACGCAATGTCCTACAGATGTATCATTGGGAAAGGTGCAATTATGTTAGAGTGATTCACAGAAGGAGTAATGAGGAATGATTATGACTAGTCAGTATAGAGTATTTGCCCATATTTTCTTTAAAGTTTCACCCTTTTTTATTACATGCCTCATGTTTTAGACAGGTTGATTATTCTCTGTGTGATTGTGACAGCGATTGTGTCTGTGCAATCACTCTTTTTTCCACAATCTTAGGGGCCTCTTGGTAATACTGGACCTAAAGGGCAGAGAGGAGAGAGAGTAAGTTTAGACATTGATAAGAATTTCAGATGTTGGTTTTATTTTATTTATTTTAACAAATAAATATATCCTATTTAAATCAAGTTGACCTGTATTAACTTTATCTTTTCATGTAGGGTGAGCCAGGCTATGTGATGGGAGGTATGGAGGTTATTCCAGGGCGTAAAGGAGAACCTGGATCTTCGGTAAGTGATGGTATCATACTAAATAGCTGTGTTAAACTAGCTTGAATAAAATTAAATTGATATTTTCTCTCTCTTGATTAAAAGGGCCCCCCAGGTGCTCCAGGGGTCCCAGGGGTATCAGGTCCTCCGGGACTCCCTGGTCAGCCTGGGCCTCTGGGGTCCCCTGGACTCTCAGTTAAGGTTAGTATGAAATATTCTGAGGATGCACTCATAAAGTAGTCTATATTATAATCGGTAACACTTTATTTCAATAGTCTACTTCAGACATTCTGCTAACTTTGCACTACATGTTTGCTAACTCTCATTATGAATAGACTGTCCAATTTCTGCTAACATTTTATTTTGATGCTTCGTCAACAGACATTCCACTGAATAACTTTGCAACAACAACATGTCATTCTACTTATTCTACTTACCCAAACCCTAACACCTAACCCTGACTTGAATACAGTATATATAATAATAATCTCAAGTTAGTTGTGTTTATTGTGGCTTTTTAAGTTACAACTTAAGGATATACACAAGGTTACATGCAATATGAGTGGTAATGACCTTATTAAGCATATGAAATGGCTCGAAATGAGTTTCAATGTTTTTTTTTGTTTTGTTTTTTTTACTTCCTTTTAGGGCGAGACTGGAGAATCTGGTCCTAAAGTAAGGACATCTACTGCACAGACAATATTTTCCATAAAATATACATGCAAAATATAATGCTCATTCTCACACTCTCTAGGGTCCACGTGGAAAACCAGGTGCCAAAGGAGAAAAAGGGGAACATGGGAATAATGTTAGTGTAAAATATTTTCGGTAACACTACAATGTGTGCACTAATAAGCATTAATTCATGCTTAACTAATGCACAGATAATACTGAATTAATGTGTAACTAATGATTATCTAAGCTATTCATTAATGATTACCACATTAGGAACTAATTAAGAGTCTGTAAGGTTAATGCATTAGTTCATACATGAAATTGTTTTTAATTAAATATGTAATTGTGGATTAATTCCATAATAACTTTATTTTTAACTAATAGTGTTAATTAATATGTTAATTACCAAAATGAGCCAAAGTCTTGTATTTCACCTTCCAGCTAACATTACACTAATATGCATTAATACATCATTAATTACTACATTGTTAGTGCAAATTCATGTGCAAATTACTACAATTACTAAATGATTAGTTAATAATGATGTGCCCCAACAAGTAAAGTCATAACATAATGATACATTTGCAAATCATTAGCTAATGATTAATTAAAGCAGACAACTGGAAGTTGAAGTGCATATCTTTGACTAATTGTGGTAATTAACACATTAATTTACACTATTAGTTAATAAAACATGTTATTAAGGAATTAATACACAATGACACATTGAATTAATAGCAATTCATGTATTACTTAATCTATTAATCATATTGACTCTTTATTTGTTGCTGATGCAGTAATCATTAATTAATGGTTTAGTTCTTCATGAGTTATACATTAACTCATGATTATCTGTGCATTAGTTAAGGATGAATTAATGCATATTAGTGCACCCATATTGTAAAGTGTTACCATATTTTCTTCTATATTACTATGCAAAAACTAGATCTATAAGTCAAAGATTTAATAGGTTGATTGAAATAATGAAACAAGTCATTTAATTTGATCTTGTGGATGTGGATGTGTCTGTCTAGGGTCTAGCGGGTTTACCAGGGCCAGTAGGAGTGGATGGACTTCCAGGAATTCCTGGTCAGAAAGGGGAGAAGGTGGGTGAGAATAAGGGGTAAACATATCTAAAACAGCCTCATGTGTCATTTTGTCTTTTCAGCAGTGATAAAAAAAGCTATTTTAAGCAATGGCTTCCTACAGCTTGCATAGGATTGTTGAAATGCATAAATTAAATCTCTCTGCTCATCTGCCTACTATCGTTTTGGAAGTCTCATTGTTCGGAGTGCTGTAAAAAATTGCTCTTCTTCTCTGTAAGCACTGCACAAAGCTAAAATTAGTGCAGCTGGTTGTTTGATTGAATTTCTTTTGTGTTAATCATAAAGGGAGAGGAAGGTATCGGAATTCAAGGTGTCCAAGGTCCCCCTGGGCTAGCTGGAGAGAAGGTACATATTTCTTATATACACAAACCACATTTATTATTAATTTAACTTGAGTAATTAATGGAAATAACTTTTCAGGGTAATACAGGACTACAAGGCCCAAAGGTAAGCATGTTGGATGTAAAAATCAATGGGGAGTGACAGATGATTGTCTCTTGCAGTGTGTAATTTGTAGTTTCCATATTCATCCAAAGGGCGAAGTAGGAATACAAGGAGTCCAGGGAATCGCAGGCCCTCGGGTTCGTCAGACTATACACAACCGTTTCACCATCAAAGTGTTTTATCTGTAAATTCATGCTGTTAAAGCATATCTGTTTTCCACAGTGAATCAGCATGCATATTTTAACAGATGTCAGCCTTAGATGCAATCTTGTTTAATGAATGTTAAGTGCTTCATAATGACGGAGGCGTTTCACTGTTGTTGTGTTTTTAGGGGAAAAAGGGTCTTAAAGGAGATCAAGGAGACAAGGTATTCATTTTCTCAGGCACATAACCGATTAGCTTTTCCACCATGAAAAAAAATGATCATGTAATGTCAGTGCTTTTGTCTAGTGCCGCTGCTGCTCCGTATTTAATTTAATCATACATTTTTCAACATGTTCAAAATAAGGGATTGTGAACTTTAAAAAAATCAAATGCACTAAACATCATAATAATAACATACATTGTTCATGAAAAGATGCTCTCTGAAATTCGCTGGATTATGATAGGCCAATTCTGTCATTGTTGGTCAAATACTTTTGTATTATGATGCTTCAGTGTATATAATTTACTGTTTGGCAACCTTGAGAATCTACTACACTATGATAGTGTACAATCTCTTGTATCATTCCTCTGACTCTTTCCTCTCACATCTCAATCCAATAGATTTATTTATTAGTTGCATAATGTGTAGTCAGCTGGTCATAAAACCTGACCACCCTCTCATGTGTATTTTGCAATAACCATCTGATTTTTTTTGACACCTGACATTTGTTTTCAACTACATAAACTACAAATGTTAATTCCTTCAATGTAATCAACAACTGCATTTATTTGACAGGGCGAACGTGGGGAAATCGGGCCAATCGGGCCTCCAGGAATTGCAGTAAGTTCATCAATTTCAGCTCTTCACATCCCTGAAAAATATAAATGGCAACTGCAGGAAAAGGTCAGATGTGTGATGAACCAGTTTAAATCACTTCCCTGCACTAAAGAGATTTGTTAAAAAGTTCAATCCTTATTTGTTTGTTCGCTCTTCAAACTTTTCCACTCTGTATGGTACTGTTGAAGTTCTATTAAAAGCAAGAATGAGCTGTAGATCTCTGGGGAAATTAAAGGAGTCGATTAAGAAATAGGAAAACCGCCTCCTCTCTGCTCTCTAGCCAGTGATGGACTCCAAAATCCAGATCCACATTATCCACCTGATTAAAAAAGGAAACACCTGAATGGAATCTCCACCTAATAATGAGAGAATTACATGTGCGAAACATTAAGAACTACTATATTGTTATATTCTTCACATGCAACCTTGTCACTGTGTCCATCTAGGGCAATTCAGACTTTAAGTCACTTTCAAATTAAACTTAGGCAGTCATTATAAAACCTAAGCCCTCAGAGAGGAGATCAAGGAAACATTTCTAACAATTCGACTCCTCATTATCGCTCGGTTCTCTCAGAAACAGTGCGGCATGATAAAACGTTTGGTTTGGAGCTCTACCGCAGCTCACAGAGAACCAATGCTCCTCTCAAAGCACCTGAGGTCATTCATATTTGCTGAATACTAATTTCATAATTCTTGCCATGATTAGAGGGAAAGCTTACTTTTCTTTTTTTAAACTTTAGGGCTTCCCTGGAGCTGCTGGACGAAAGGGTGATGAGGTGAATCTAAACTCTTTTCTTCATTTAATCCAATTTAATACTTATACATTACACTGCCCAAACTATGTGGACATCCCCTTCTAAATAACAGTTTTACTTACACCCTGCAATATAATCAAATATACTGCATTGTAGTCAATGACTTTCAATTTTTCACAATCTTCATAGGATGGCATTCTTTCAATCTGGTGTAAGATTGTGTGTGTCCACAAGTGAAAGTGGCTTCTTCTCACATTAAGTGTCTGTATGGCAAATATCAGCGCTTATAGAAGTGTACAGTTAAACTGTGTGTGATTTATATGTCTGTATTTGATTCACAGGGGCAGCGCGGTGCTCCCGGTGACCCAGCTAAAGGGGTACAAACGATGCCTTGGCTTAGTGTCTCATCTATTGTGTTTTTACTTAAAAATACACTATTGCTAATGTTTCCCCTCACATTTCACAGATACTTGGTCCTCCAGGGAAAAAGGGTGCCAGGGTAAGATCAGTTTCAAATATATGTATATAAAAATGTGAACAATTGTCTATACCAAACCTGGTCATCTTTGGGTCCCACAAACAGATGCTGTTTTGTTGTTGTTTTTGAGCTCATGACTCAAGTCAGAGATTTATTTCCCTTTGGGTTCCCTTCATATCCATTGATGAAAACAAGCAGTGCATCCAGCTTAAACACGGTTAATTAGTGCCGTGAGCATTGATATGAATCCAAGAGCTGCGAGTCAATGAACAAACAAAACAAGAAAGGACAGAATTATGAACTAATAAGGTTTTGAACTAACACTCCAGGGGTAAAATCTGTGATTTGCGCATTTCATTAAAGGTTTTTAGGTGACAACCCTTATTGGCCAGTCGGTGATTTATGTTGGTTGGTTACGTGTTGTTTGAAATGGTCAACAGTAGAGAGATTTAAGCTATGTTATTTTATTTTTTTCTCCCTGAACTGGATATAAAGGGGGATGTCGGACAAGTTGGACCACTAGGACCACAAGGAATAAAAGGAGATCGGGGTGATAAAGGTGAAAAGGTAGGTGTTGATTTGCTGTTTTGGATATGAAAGAGCAATTTATTGCAATTATTGATTAGCTAATTTTTTATTTGATTTATTGATAAGCTATAATTATTGATTGCCAATCTGAATGTACTGATTTTCTGGGTTTTTAAAGGGCAATCCTGGATTTGGAATCCCTGGTCAGCCTGGTCCCAAGGGAGATAGTGGAGAAAGAGTGAGTGTTTATGACTTAAAAGTAAAAAATTGTGAAATATTATTACAATTCAAAATAGCTGCTTTCTATTTTAATGGATTTTAATTTCAAATTTTCAAATGTAATTTATTCCTGTGATGTCAAAGATTAATTTTCAGCATCATTACTTCAGATCCTTCATAATATCCTTCATTTGTTGCACAAGAAACATTCATTTTATTATATTATTATTTCTTCATTATTATTGAAACAATAGTGCTGCTTAATATTTTTTCCAGGATTCTTTGATGAATATTAAGTTCAAAAGAGTTTTACGTTTTTTAAATTGACCTATTTTGTAATATGTATGTCTTGACTGTAATTTTAGATCAATTTAATGCATCCTTGCCTAATAAATAATCTTTCAGAAAGAACAATCTTACTGACAACAAACTTTTGAACGATAGTTTAGATAATGACATCATCAGCCCACAGGAAGTCACATGATTTATTTACATCCACTACAAGGAAGCATTATTTTTAAATTCTCAATGTTTTGTTTGAAAATAACATTGAATCTTTTTCAACATGGCTTGTTTTTCCCTCTACATCAATCACATCTTTTGTGTCTTCTAATATATATAGTTACATATTGACAGATATGTTTTAGAAGACATGAAAGATAAAAATATATATATATATTTAGACTGTTCTGTTCACTTATCTTTTTATGCACAGGGTAATGTTGGATTATCAGGGAAACCAGGGCCAAAAGTAAGTTTGTTATATGCTTTTGATTTTAATACCTGTGGTATTCTGTCAGACTACAAAAGTGATTGTGAATCAAAGTGAAGGCATAAAATATAACATGAAACAGATCGATCACATGAACACGTCCTTTGGTTGTGTCCAGGGCAATGATGGGTTCAAAGGAGAGAAAGGGGAGGTGGGTGCAGGCAACCCTGGTTCTCCAGGACTAAGAGGTAAAGATGTAAGTAAATCGAGAGCCCAGAGTGACTAATACAAGAAGTATGTGAGTGTGTATTTGCGAGCACGTGTGTCCGTGCGCTTTGCATCATTGCGTTAAGGATATTAGAGATTTTGAAGGGGTCATTTTGTCATAAAATCCCCATTGTTCGCTTTTTAATTAACGCTTCGTTCATTCATATTTAATTAAATGTTCTGCTTTCATGGATTTCAGGGTGTGCCAGGACCGAAAGGGGAGGTGGGATCAAGGGTGAGACTACACAACAAGCAGCACAGAGAAACTCACATCTTCACACACTAGCATCTTTTTCTAGTATGGTGGAGACTTTCCACACACTTCTATTGTTTTTATTCGGAGCTAATGATTTTTCATGTGATTCCCCTAAATCACACATTAACCTTTTTGCATGTTTATTAAGCTGTTTGTGTCTTTACAATGTAGATGTTTATTTATTATTATTATTTTTTATATTTATTAACTTTTTTTTGTCACAGGGAGAGTCTGGTTCACCAGGAGAGCCCGGAGAGAGAGGTGCCAAGGTATTGTCTCTTCTAAACCCCTAATAATTCAAAAGTAAAATCAAAGTTTTCTCATATATTCTTGATCTAATATCTCTCTTTGTTCAAATCAGATATTCTGTATTGGATATCCCGTTTATAATAATTTCACCCTCCCTATATAAAATGTACACCTCTCTATGTATAACACTTGTTGCTCAAAACATTTACCCTACCATTCACACTTTTCCTCATCTCCAATGTCAGGGACCTCTCGGTCTTCCAGGGCGACCCGGTGACCCTGGGGGAAAAGGCGAGCCTGGAAAATTAGGGTTACCAGTAAGCAGCTTCGTTTATTTTACAATTTGTATTCAATCATTGGACAAATGCTCTTGTGAAGCACTTTCAGAGTGCCACTGAATAATAAACCACACTAGCACAGAAGAATCAATACTATGAATATCCATATTTTTCAGGGTCCAGAAGGACAAAAAGGAGAGAGAGGCGAGCCGGTACGTGCTATTAAAAAGCACAAGAGTAACTTAATTTTGCAATTTTGCAAGGAATTCAATATTTCATTGGCTGGTCATGCTCCGTGCTCTGATAAATCCAGTGATAAATTAAAGAGCAGGAGTCTCCATATTAATATTGTATTCTCTGCAGGGGCTGCCCGGACCACCGGGACATACTCAAGTGAGTTTTACTGTCCTTACTGGGTATTATAATCAAGCTATTTAACATAAATAAATATTAATGTGATCATGTTGTTTTCGGTTGGTTGATTTAAAATACATGTCTGTTGCACACGTCAAAAGCTGTCAAGACAGTATTGCTCTTTTTGTTTTGTCTTTAGAAGCACTGCTTGAGGTGTTAGGTCACTTTTTTGTCATTTATTTGATTGGCTATTTCATTGTTATCTTTGTTAAGACAGATTTTCAATGACTTCATTTTCTCATAATTCTTCTTCCCTAGTTTACCACGTCAGACAACACCATTCTCACCAGGGCCATTAAGGTAAAGTAAGACATTTAGAAATTCATACAAATTTACGTATACACAATGACAATCTAGGAATGTTTTTGGTGTCTTTAAAGGGTGAACCCGGTGAGCCGGGACTCCCAGGACTCCAAGGGGAGATGGGACGTCCTGGACCACCTGTAAGTGACGTTTTCACATCCTATATTATTAAAAACAAAATGATATAGATTACAATTTTCTTTTATTCTGTTTTAGGGTCCTGAAGGCAAACCAGGACCTCCAGGGAATTCATTGGTTAGTCACTACAGTCATAAATAAACTTAAATAATCATTTTTTGGCATTTTGTCAGTTTTTCAGATGGCATGTCTCTTAATTATTGGAGGATTTAATTATTTTCTCTTCTAGATTGGATCTAGTACAGGAATAGATGGCCTGGATGGTCCATCAGGGAAGCCTGGATCTAAGGTTCGACTACTTCCTGTTTCAATATTTCTGAAATATAGTTGTGGCTAATCATTCTCTTTCTTCTCTATGTACTGTTGTAATTGTTTTCAGTTATAAGTAACCATGGTTGTGTATGCGCAGGGTGAACCAGGACAAAAAGGGGACCCAGGACCAGTGAGTAGGCCTAATAACAATTATTTTGTGATCATGTATCATGTGATTCATATTTTACATTTCAGTGACATTTATTGAATTGCAGGGTGTGCGATAGGTGTACAGTATTAAAGTAGTTCAAAATACACAATGTCTGCTAATGAGTCTGTATAGGACCCTTTTAATGTGTAATTTTGATGAATAAAAATGGAGAATTTAGCTTAAATAGTCCAATCTGTCACGTATATGCACTTTCCTAAAGGTTATCTTTTGTTCTCGAAGAATAGATTATTATAATAATTATAGTTAGTGCTGTTCTGTATGTGTGTGTGTGCGTGTGCATGTATGTGTGTGATCCAAATCTTCCCAAAAGGATTCAGTTAAAAAAAAAAAAAACTTGTTTTAATTAAACAGAAAGGGGAGAAGGGAGATGGGCGTGCTGGGATTACTGGAATGCCTGGTTTACCTGGAACTCCTGTGAGTATATAGTAGTAATATTTACAGCAGATATGAGCCATAATATCTATTAATTTCCTTTCTTTTCTTATGTTCTGTTGTCTCCTCTTTCAGGGCAAACCTGGTGTTGATGGGAAACGTGGAGTAGCCGGAAAAGATGTACGTTTTATATATTGTTGTAGCTCTAAATGCTTTTGTTAAAAACTTTTATTTTTATAAAACTAAACCATTTTTTTTTCCCCCAGGGAGAAAAAGGTTCAAAGGGTGATGAAGGAACAAAGGTGGGGAAACCATTCCATTGTTCCATTATCCCAGTAAACCCTAAGGAAATGTACAAGTACATATACATGTGATACAAGTAAATGTATTTGGCTAACATCATTTTTTATTTGAATGCATAGGGTGAAAAAGGTGAACCTGGTGCAAATGTAAGATATCCAAAATCAACCGTTTTAAGCAAAGTGTGGTATAATTAAGTGGTTTGTTTAAATCTATTATATGTTAGGACGTTTTTGACATTTTAACTGCTTTAGGGAAATGAAGGCCAAAAAGGAGAGCAAGGATCTCCAGGCTTGCCAGGTCCTCCCATTGTTCTCCAAGAGGTTTGTTTTGTTTAAGCTTAGAAAACATTGTATTTGCAGCCATTTCTGTTGCTAAATTATATATGTATTTTTTTTTTCACAGGGTATGTCTATTGAGGACATAAAGAAAGCATTTCCCATACCAATGGGTCCCCCTGGTGCGGCGGTGAGTGTCTCACACATGTGAATACCTCTGCTTTACCAAATAATCAATACATATACCATTGGGACATTTGGATGCAAAGACTATTAGGCTTTTACGTTTTTGAAAATCATGAGTTTATGGTACTTTTTTAGCCCTTACGTACATGTGTTTCTGTGTGTAGGGTCCTCCTGGGATGAAGGTAAAGTATAAATTGCCAAAAATCATTGAAGAAATGAAAAGATTCTGAGGCGATATCTAATTTTTCTCTTTTGGTTGGCAGGGAGAGAAAGGAGAGATGGGTTTAAAAGGAGAGCAGGTACCAAACCTTCTACATCTCATTGATTGCATTGAAGTTATCCTTTCATGTCTATTTGGGAGAAGGTATGATAGTGTGCACTGTATTATTTAACAGGGTGATGCTGGCCCACCTGGGAGAGCTGTTGAAATGAAGGTCTTCTCAATGCCTATATATAATTAACTTCATTACAAAAACCTTACGTCTTGTAAAATGTACGTCTTCTTGATCTTACGTGGTGTAAACATATTGTTTTGTTCTATTTCAGGACATTGAAGGCTTGTTTGATTCATATGGTATTAAAGTAAGTGTGCTGTATTTAGACAGCTTGATTTTAACCCTGCAGGAATGTTGAAAGCACAGTGTTTGATTTGCTTACATAAATTGACTTTATTAAAAAATATAGTATTTGGGGGATGAGGGTTCTTTTAGGCATGATGCCTGGAAGTAATGCTATATATATATATATATATATATTTATTTATAAATATTTGTAGCTAGATTGAGTGCCTTTACTTCAGTTTTGATCAAAAATGAAGCTTTAATATTAAAATTAATATGTAAGATTTACTATTTCATATTGATATTAAGCTTTTGCTTTAATATTTAATATTACTACTGAAAACATGCTTATAAACAAAATATAAAGAAATGTAAACATTATGAATATGCTAACTGCAATATTCTCAATGGCTGCATTCATATAAATAATAAAAAAAAAATTGTTTTGAAAATTAAGTTAGTAATTAACAAATGTGATGTATGCTTTACAAATGTATTTTAAGCTTTTTACTGGTCTCTCCTACATTATTAACCATTATATTGTCATTTTATGGATTATGTATTTATATGAATTCTAACAATTTTGACTTGCACAATACCACAGTACCACATTTGCAATAAATAAAAACACACTTTACCAGCTCTCGCTGCTGAAGGCCTTGATCGACAGGCTGCTTCAGGATGGAATGGAGGAGCTTCTTCATGACATCAGCACTGGCAGAAGAGTGAAAGGAGACAGACAGGAGCCTGACTCCAACATCATCACCGAATACACCGTGAGTAGCCTCCTAAACATACAAAACATCTCAGGAAAACGATTTTCTACTGTATAACAACAATAATTTAAACACTGTGACTTCTAGTCAGATTTACCATGCATACCATCAGCAATGATGTTATGGCTATTAAGCTTATTGAATAATGAGAGCTCACTCTAATCCACAGAGCTCAGTAAAGTACAGTCACCCACAAGAGATATTACCTGATACGGATTTGATTGAGGAAGAGTCTGACCTTGAAGAGGGGCAGACACCTGAACCCAGTCCTGTAAGCAAACATATTGTTATTAATAATCAATTTCTAACCTAAGATTAACACTTTCTCAGATTTAGGCCTATATTTGATTGATTTTCTCTGATGTAATGTTGCTTTTTCAATGAGTGATATGATATTGTCCCCTTCGTGTGCTGATTGAGTTCAAGATAATTGAATCATTTAAACATTTAATGAAGCAGTGCTTTTGTTATTGTTATTGTATGTTTTTAATATGGCTTGTGTTGTCGTTTAAGGAGCCTGTGGCTGAAACAGAGGTGGGTCCTACCCTTTGGACCATCACTACTATTAACAAAAAGACTGACGTCACTAAAACAAAGGACAAGCTGGTAGATGTCGAAGAAAAGAAACTCTTGAAAACCAACTTCAGTGATGTAACACCTTTGAAATTTCTTCAAACCAACACTTCCTCTGAGAGGGTATGTTCAGTAGTGATATTAAATGTTGTTTATTGTACTGAAGCACATTAGAGTGTGTTGTGCTTATAGACAAAATGCACTCCATAAAGGATAATGTCAAACATACACCTTTGAATTTAAGCATTTATACATTTTAAATCAATCTGAGCTCATCAATTCAATTTAAAATTGGATTTTGATTTGTAATGTCTTTTTTCTGATTTACTTTAACATAATACCATTGAATGGCTACTTGTAAAACAAGTTTCGATCATTAAATCAATCTTTTTTTTTTTGACAGCTGAGTTCTGGGAAGGTAGAGGTAAGTATGGAGACAGTTTTCCACAGCCATGAGGACACAGGGAAAAAATCATCTGGAGAGAAGAAGAAAGGCAAAGAGAGGGGGAAGGTAAAGTTAGCTCAGTGTGTTATAAATGAGTTTCAGTGACAGTTCTGTGTTGTACTTATTGTAAATTGACAGGACATCACTTAATCAAAAAAATGTCAAATTAGCCATAAACATGTTTTAGCTATTAACCCTGTAATGCCTGACATCTGAAATAATTAGACAAAATCTAATAATAATAATTAATTAGAAATAATTAGAGAAAATCTAAACAAAAAGTCTTTTGTGTCAAAGTGTTTTTGGTTGAATATCATGATGCATCAGGCTTTCATGACTCATATTTGTGTATTCAATATGATACACAGTAGGCTTTATAGGGTTGAACAGACAAATATTTTTTATACTGGTGAAAATTTGAATCTGTGCAGTAATAGTAAAAGCCTAACCATACATAACTAGAACTAAACATTACAATTAAATATAATTTAAAAAATCATGGATGCTAACCTCCTAAGTGATTCTAAATATTTCTGATGATTGTTATTTAAAGCCTTCTTATGAATTATGATGCTTCTCAACTGCTAAACTCTCAACCAGGGCAAAGGAAATAAAGGACGGCAAAAACGGCAAAGGAAACGTTTGGTAAATGTTTCATCATTGCATCCAACCTGACATGCACACATCATTCACATCTAAAGAAGCTTACACTCTAAAAAATGCTGGGTTGTTTCAACCCAAATTTGGGTCAAATATGGACAAACCCAAATGTACCCAGCATTTGGGTTTGTCCATATTTGACCCAAATTTGGGTTGAAACAACCCAGCATTTTTTTTAGAGTGTAACAGTGCTAAATAAGTGCCTTTTTTCTATTACGTTGAACTTTATTTTATGTTCTGATATGCAAGAGATATTACAGACTTGTCTAAATATGCCTAAATATTTCATTAAACAAGCATAAACCCTAAATAAATTTTAAACATACTCTTAAATCGAGCATTAAATGCACCTGTGGTTTGGCTATAATCATAATGCATTACTAATTTAATAAATATGCAAAAATTTTCCCAAATAGCAGTATTACAATTTTAACTAAAAGAATAATTCACCCAAAAATTAAAATATGGCATTAATAATGGAATTAAATTTCTCCATAAAGCATGATTACCAACATTGATAGTTTAGTCTGTAATGTGTAAAACTAACCTCCTAATATGTAAATTTGTTACTGATCTATTCTCTCTCAGTTTTGTTTGTTAGTTTGTTCATTAGCATCAAAACAAACCTATTTAGCTGATCATGTTCTAGATTCATCATTAGAAGGCAGAAATCATTTCTCTTTCAATGTTAAATTACAGGAAGACCAAGACAACATGGAAGAGGAGGTTGAGGAAGGATCATATGATGATGAGGAATACAGTCTTGAATATGAGGTAATTCTAATCTATACAGTCACTATAGTATAGTGAATACGAGGGAATTTTATAAAGTAGGCTTTATTGGGTTAAACAGACATGATCATACAGTATGATGTGAAATCTAATGTAAGACAGATGTGATTCATATCACGCAGTACATCAGATTTGATTTATAATTCGTCTGTTAGTATTCACACATGCATAATTAGCTGAATGGAACCTGACATATCATCCTACACTAATAAGTTTACCTCATATCCCCCTCACCCACACCCACACTGGAGAATCCAATCACATCACAATTTAAAAGACTTTGATATATTACTCCCACTCCCCAACCTAAATAAGAAACCGTAATCACTAATTAATTTCTAATTAATGTTAAGTATTCTCATAATCTCTCAGCTTTCAGTTTATGTCTTGAAACAAATGGTTTACACACTGCAGGCGGGGTTTTTTTTTCATGAACTTTTCACAGTGATTTGTAAATGTTTTGTGTGTATCATGTCAGGACGAGCTGCCCACAAAAGAGCCTTTTTCCTCTCGAGAGGAGGACGACGGAGGAGAGGAGGTAAGCGTTATCGAAACCAAATCAAATCACAATATACTCATAAATTTACAACTGAATGCACTATTGCAGACACAAAAATGCATGTTACAGTGCAATCCTTTTTCCTCAATACTATACGGTTGTGTGATATGCGTTGAGCTAAAGGTTTTTCAGCTGGAACCTGTTCTTTCCTCAGCTAAAATTCTCTGCAACAACAGCTTTATACACACAAGAAAATGAGGTAAGAGTAACTGCTTAACCTTTTTTTTTGAATACTATTAATCATTTAAAATGTTAATGGTTGCATAGGAGCAGGGCATTTTATGACGTTCCAAAATTGTTAAAAATGCACACAGGGTGAGACAGAAACATCCTCTTGGATTACACAGTCTCCAGAGGAGATCAGACTGGTAAGAATATACACTACCTTTCAAAAGATGTATCATGTTTCTGAAAGAAGTCTCTAATGCTCACCCAGGCTGCATTTATTTGATGCAAATAAAATACAGAAAATTGCAATATTGTGAAATAGTATTACCATTTAAAAGAACTGATGCAATTTAATACATTTAAAATAGGGCTGTCAAACGATTAATCGCGATTAATCGCATCCAAAATAAAAGTTTGTGTTTACATAATATATGTGGGTGCACTGTTTATAATTATTTTATATGTTTAAATACACACACATTGTATATATTTAAGAAATATTTTTATGTGTATACTGTATTTTTATTTATAAATAATTGATATTATATATAAATATAAATATTTTATATATAAATAATATTTTTTTCTAAAATATACATGCATGTTTGTGTATTTATACATAAAAAATAATTATAAACAGTGCACCCACATTTATTATGTAAACACAAACTTTTATTTTGGATGCGATTAGTCGCGATTAATCGTTTGACAGCCCTAATTTAAAATAGAATTTATTCGACAGCCATCATTACTACAGTCTTCATGACTACAGTCCTACTTCAGTGTCACATGGTCCTTCAGAAAAAGTTTTAATATGTTGATTATTGTTGAAAACAGTTGTGCTGGTTTATATTTGTGGAAACTGGAATACATTTTGAACAGTAGTGAATGCATATTTTAAATAGACACCTTTTTAGGATCATTTTAATTTACTGTAATTTAATTTATATAATTCTCATGCACCATCGTTTATCCCCTTTGCAACAAGTATGGTTTATAGAAAAATGTCAATTCGTTTCAGACGGCTTACACAACACCAGCGAGTCCCCTGCTTTCATCAAGAGTAACAGAGCAGGTACTTGTTCGCATTTCAGCTGCTTTATGCACAGTATATGATATACACATTAACATATTTTTTTGTGTTTCACAGAAGCCACCTGAAACCACATTATTATCAGTGATAAACACAACACAAACTGCAGAGGAGGTAAAAGTTTGTCTGTGGTTTTGCTTTCTGTCCTCCTGTCTTTTCCTTTTTGCTCTGTTTTATTCCACAGCTCAGTCTTGCATGTGGCTTTTGTTTGAAGCATGAACTAACTACAGCTTTGGGAATCTTTCTGTTTATTGGACACTTTAGCTTATTGCAACTGATGAATACATTTGAGTTGAGCATGCACTTTTTATTAGCATGCCTCTTTATTTTTTTGCATGACAAGATCAATGAATTTCACCAGTGCAAACAGTATTTTGCGTAAGTTCATATGCATTTTAAACAGGCAACTTTAATGTATGAGTATAAAGTGTGAGTTTCAAGAACATGATCATTAATATATAACAAAATATCATGAAGTAACACACTGACATCCAAGCATGAATCCTCTGGTTTGTGTACTTGCCGAATGAAACATTAAACACGCTTTATAGTCGCTTTTACAGATTAGCTACAGGTTTTGGTGTCATTGTTACACTGTAATTATACATTTAACTACCAAGTAATATTAAGTAACTTCATGTACTTACTAAAGGGTTAGGATTAGGGTTAAGGGTTAGTTGCATGTAATTATGCATAATTTATAGTTATTACTATAGGAACTACATGTAACATATGTAGCAATGGCACTGTAAAATAAAGTGTTACCCAGGTTTTCTTTAATATATTTATTTTCTTAACACAGGAGCTCCCCTAAAATCTGTAAGAGAGATATTCAAGTGTGTAGAAACTGTGAAGGGTAAAAGAGGGGGAGGATCTCACTGGCCGGCATTACTTTGGGAGAGCCTCCTGTCCCGTCGCACAATGATGATGTCATTCATCCATGCCGCCTCCACCGTGTCTAGCGCTCAGTACGCTGCAATGCCTTTGATAGATTGAGAAGGACCACCAACACTCTCTGAAGAGAGACCAGCCCAGTATAAACATCTTTACTGAACAAACACATGCTAAATCATTCATATAATTCATATCAATATGACAACACAAAACACTGTCTTAACGTTGTTTTAATAACTTGCTTAGAGTTTCAAATCATTTGTCCTGTCAGCTCATGCAACATCGATTTGTTCATCAGTTCCTTATTTATTGATAAGACTGAAAAAGAATTGTATTTTGTTTGTGTTTATTATATTTACTTTTTTCATTTGCGGTAACATGATGTGCTACCTGTTTTCACTGGTGAAATTCAAAGACATATTGCTTTTCTTTTTGTAATTAATCTGTTTGTGCATGTCTGTCAGTAAATGTGTTCTTCCTAAACCAGTCTTAACCTGTTTCTGAGTCTTTATTGTGTGTTATGTGTGTCTTTATTTCTTTTCACAATCATGACAAATGTTTGCTTCATAACATTTTTTATATAAAGAGGTCCACTATATTGGTACCATATCAATTATTGGTATTGTTTATATTCTACATGTCATTGTGCAAGCTAATTTCCCCCATTTTTAATTTTAGATTTCATTTGCCGCCATCTAAGTTAATCTTTTAAAACACTATTAATTTAATAACACTGTTAAATGTAATTTCAAAGAGCATACACATTTTTTCATACACTTAGAAAAAAAGGTACAAAAGCTGTCAGTGGGTTGACACCCTTTTGAAAGCTACACATTTGTACCTTATTTACACCTAAAAGGTACATATTAGTACCTAAAGTGTACTTATGAATGCATAAATTGTATATTTTTTTGTAAATATAGTAAAATATGCAGTAAATGTAAATGAGTAAGAGAAAAAATGTTTATAAGACTGTTTGGGTGTAAACAGGGGTACTTGTCCCACAATAGTGGCCTGGAAGGGGCAAGATCTAAAGTGAAGAGGAGCGCCCCCTCGCCTGAGTACATGGTAAAACTTGCCCACAACAGTCTGGCTAATGTTTTGTTATAGAATTTCAATTTTAACATAGAATAAGCATCTTGTTGAAGCACAAATCAAGTGTGTCATCTGTAGGCATACATGCCTGGAACGCCAGGAGGACAAAACCGTTACAGACAAGGATATAAGGTGATGTGTTTCTGATTTTGATTAGATGTAATTGCATGATGTAATGGAGGGAAATTGGGGGAGGAAGTAAAATTGTGTTATCTCATCTTCTTTTAGCGTTCCACCTCAGGAGCAGGAGGCAAAAAGAAGCTGAATGTGAGTGTGTTTAATCTACCTGAAAGAAATGGAGGAATTGATAGAAGATAGAAAGCTCAGAAATGCCATGCAAGTAGTTTTTCTTAGATTTGTAATCAAACTTTAAGAATATTCTAAAATTGAATCACTGAAATAAATAAAAAAATAATGTAGTTATTTGAACTGTTTGACACATAAAATACTGTTAGTATTTTAATAGAAAACTGTTTAGATTGATTGTGTTGAGATGCATTATATGTTAATGAAAGTTGTTAAATTTTTCGAATAAGTAAATGAAAAAATACTGTGTTCAAATCAATGTTTGATTATTGACTTATAATTTTTATAGTGAAATTTTATAGACAAAGGGAATCTAATAGCATGATATTAAGCTCTCACTTTATTTTTCTGTCACTTTTGTAGAAAAGGAAGCAAGAAAACAAAGACACTGCGGCTGTTGCAGAGATGTACAAGGAAAGAGGGAGGGAAGAAGAGGGCGAGAGAGAAGACGACATCTATCTTAAGAACCAGGAAAGAATGATTGAAGAGGAAACTGAGGCACATTGGGACATGGAGGAAGAGGATGGTGCGACTGAGACCAAAGAATACAGTTCAGGTGATGGTGATGAGGAGACAGAGGAAGAATTTGAGCTAGAGAGGGAGAGAGAGAGACAGGAGATGGAAAAAGAAAGGATGGAGCTGGAACGAGAAAGGGCGGAAGAACTTGAAAGGGAGAGAGAGCTGGAGAGGGAGACAGAGATGGAGCAAGAGGAAAATGAGGAGAGAGAGAGACAGTTACAGAGACAAAGAATGGAATGGGAGAGACAAAGAGAAAAGATGGAGAGAGAGAGGATGGGAGAGACAAACGGAGAGGAAGACATGGGGCCCCGTATTTCCCACTGTGATTATCTGAAGGTAAGAATGTGCTTTAAAATGAGTTTTCAACAAAAATACAAATATTCCACATATCCACAACATATAAAGAATAACATCTATGTATCCTTTGAGCCATTGGAAAACATTATGTAATTATAAAATATATGTTTGTTTAAATTTAGATATTAAAGGAGTAGTTTACTATTAAAAAAAAAAACTTTTGCTGATAATTTACTCACCCCCAAGTCATCCAAGATGTCCACGTCTTTCTTTCTTCAGTCGAAAAGAAATTAAGTTTTTTGATGAAAACATTCCTGGATTTTCTCCATATAATGGACTTCACTGGGAACCAAACAGCTCAAGGTCCAAATGAGAGTTTCAGTGCAGCTTCAAAGGGCTTTAAACGACACCAGATGATGAATAAGGGTCTTATCTAGGACCCTTCGAGTCATGACTCGAAAAAAGATTTGTTAGTTTTGATGAACGAGTTTGAACAGGAGAGCTGCACTGAAACTCTCATTTGGACCTTGAACCGTTTGGTTCCCATGTAAGTCCATTATATAGAGAAAATCCTGGAAAGTTTTCATCAAAAAACATAATATCTTTTCGACTGAAGAAAGAAAGTGATGGACATCTTGGATGACATGGGGGTGAGTAAATTATCAGCAAAAGTTTTTTTAAAAAGTGAACTACTCCTTTAAATCCCACATTTTTAGGACAGACATTTGGACCCTCATTTATTTTCTGTAATATGGTGTATATGCGTTTTTCCTCGAATGAACAGGGACCTCCAGGTGAAAATGGAAAACCAGGCCCTAAGGTCAGGCAAGCTTTTTCATTCTAAGTCAGAACGATCTGTTCTTAGTAATAAGCATGCCAGTCCCATCCTGATAAATAGTGTAATTTGAGCAATGTTCTCGTTGGCTCTTATTACTGAATAAGATCTGTGTGTTCCCAAAACCAAAGTCTGTTAGATAATCATCCCTGCTTCCCGATTGGTCTGCACCCCATCCACACATACGACATCCCGCCCCCTCATTTACAATTTCGAAATGATTACTGTCAATCAAACCCGGTGGGTGGATTTTCAGTAGTCCCTTTCCGCTTGCTTTGATGCCCCTAGAGCTTTATTCTTACTCCTGCGAGCCTGAAATGGATTTAATTAGTCTGTGTTAATATTGTAGAGCTGAAGGAGAACTTCTGAGCTCTTTGTTGTTTGGGTTAGTCAAAATTGTGCTTGTGAGTGGCTGATCATTTGTGAATTTGTGCAGGGGGAGATTGGAGAAAAAGGCCAGAAGGTATATTCATTTTCAGCCTGTTGTCAATAACTGTTTATCCCATAATTCTTTAGCCTCCAATGATTTGTTTATGTGTTCTGTTTCAGGGAGAACCTGGAACTGGTCACCGTGGGCCAATTGGTCAGGCCGGTCCAGCAGGACAAAAGGTGTGTCCTTTATCAATACTGTGAAATTAACTGGCAACATAAACCCGAACGCAGCTAAAAAATAGACGTCTTGTTGCTGATGTTGTGTTATGTGCTTAGGGTGAGCCTGGCGAACCAGGACCGACTGGAGCACAGGGCATTCAGGGTATCCGTGGCAATCCTGGCATCCCTGGGACACCAGGTCAAAGAGGTCAGCCAGGTGACCCTGGAGAGCCAGGTAGAAAGGTAATGTTAAAGAATTTCCTTATTGTTATGACTATGGTGATTGAATAACATTTTGCTATTTGAAAGCGAAAAATTAACTAATAAATGATTTTTTTTTTATTTATTCGTATGTTTTACAGGGTGAGAGAGGGAGACGAGGAAAGAATGGGTCACCTGGCACTCCAGGTGCAATTGGTCCTCTTGGACAGCAGGTATCACTGCTACATTTACTCTGTATATCAATACATTTACTCTGTAGTTTAATTTATAGAGTGAAAAGTGAAGGGCTAGAATGAACTGAGAACTTCTTTCAGGGTCCTCCTGGCCTCTCTGGGGTTAAAGGTGAAAAGGTAAGTCATTGCATGTTGTGTTGATGCTCAACATGAACAGGTTAGGTTGAAATACCCCACAAACAGACATAAACATAAACATTTATGAAAAGTTTTATCTGCTATCACCAGGGAGACACTATCCCAGGGGAACCAGGTGACAGGGGAATTTCCGGGCTCCCAGGTCGCCGGGTAATATCATAATAAATGTTCCTTCAGATAGATTGCAGGTGTAATGTTTATTCAGTAATAGCATATTATGAAACCTAGTGGTGAAAACAGTTGCATGTTTGTTTTTTTCTCTGTGTACTCTAAGTGTTTATTAATAACTTCACATTGTTACAAGGGACCCAAAGGCACTATCGGTGTTAGAGGGCCTCCAGGTCTCATGGTGAGTCAAGTGTCATTCTGTAGAATATTTTGTAGCAGACTCATTTCAAGCGTATTGGTTCATTCGTTCATTCGTTCGTTCGTTTGTTCATTCATTCATCCATCCATCCATCCTACATCAGGTACACTGTAAAAATGAATATGCTTTATCTAATCAATAGAATTGTGGCAACAGATTACAAGCAATATTATTAATGAAATTTAACAAATTAGAATTGAGTAATCAATAATGAAATTAAAAGTTAACCATTTAAAATGAGTAAAGTTTACACCATAACATTTTACAAAAATATCTCACTAACAGACAGACGTCAAAGATTAATAAGAACTCTTTATTTTATATTGCCAACATTGAAGACACCTGATGTTAACAAGCAGAATCACTGAAGGAGAAAAACGTAATTTTTAAAACAAACCTAAAACAAACACTGATCACCATAATGGTGACTTCAATTTATGTTTTTTTTTTTTTCACATCTCTGTTTCTTTGCATCTTCTCTCATTGTCATGGGAAAAATAACACCAATATCTCGTTGTTGTCCTATCCTCTCTTCGACTGTACAATCTGAAAAAATACCCCAAAATATATATTTTCTTTTTTTTTTTTATGCACAATACATGATTCTGTACAATGTGTTAAGTTCTTTTGACCTTTCTCTTTAATTAAGGGTCCCAAAGGCCTGACTGGTGTGAAAGGAGAAAAGGTGAGTTTCCATTTTTATCCCATCTTGGTTTAAATTCTGTGAACAGCAAGACCCGCCTCCTTTGATTTGAATGGCCAACTCAGTCATTTTGACACTGACAACTGTTCAAAAAACAAACAAAAAAAACAAAAAAAAAACAATGTAATGGAGTGCAGCAGAGCAGCATCAAGAATATCCTATTCCATTTCTAACTATTGGGGATGACTTGTCCCCTTCAAAGTCTATGGTGGTTATGGCCAAGCATTGAAGGGCTTTAAATGTTAATAGCCAAGCCAACTCTGCCAGGGTCATTCACTGTAGCTCAAAGATTTATAGGCAGCTTTCACAGCACTATTGTCCTCACAGAGCCTTTCTTCTCTCTGTATCGACTTGCCAGTGTCTTCTCTTCAACTCTTTCTCTGCTCAAGCCGATCTTTGTATGTTTGAAACTGCTGTGAACAGCACTTTCTTCTCAGAGACATACACACTCACACCAACGTCACAATCTGCGTCAGTTGTGAATAAAACCGGTTTTATTTTCTTCAGCGTATGACAGGTTCAAATTTGCTTATGACGTACCATTTTAAACTCAATTGTTTAGAATATAAACCAGACAAAATTAACAAAGACAACTTTTTGACTGACAGGGTGACAAAGGTGTGACTGGTCACAGAGGAGACAAGGTAAGGACAGCATATGCATATCTGGATGGCATTTATTTAGATTTATTTACCAACTACCTTATTGTTTTCCTGTTTTTGTAGGGTAGCCCTCTCTCCATGCCAGGACCCAGAGGATATAAGGGTCTAAAAGGAGAGACGGTAAGATTTCTGTATTTAAGTTCACTAATGTTTCCTACAAAGGATACGAATTGACTGTGCAAACACTTCACAACATCTGTGAGTCATTTGATTTTTTTTTCTTCAATAAGGTTTCATTTGTTAACGTTAGTTAAAACATGAACTAACAATGAACAATACTTTACTACAGAATTTATTTATCTTAGCTTATGTATAACTCAACATTTAAGACATTTTTAAAGGCAATATATGTATCTGTTAATACTATGCACAGTGAACATTAACATTTTATTGATTAACATTAACAAAGGTTAATCAAATCTGCACAAATGTATTGCTCGTTGTTAGTTCATGTTCATTAAATGAGACTTTAATGTAAACGGTTACCTTTTTGAAGTAGAAAGGACAAATGAAGGTCAATGTATTTTGATATGTACGTCAATGCACAGTATGTCTGAATTTTATATGGTAGGGTGAACGTGGGCTTCCAGGGTTTGATGGAGATAAAGGAGAGAAGGGTGAAGATGGTCCACCTGGTGCGAAGGTATTTTACACACTGTACTGAGTGATATATACATTACTTTTCAAATGTTTGGGGTCATGATTTCTGAAGGATCATGTGACTGGAGTAATAGCTGCTGAAAAATTCAGCTTTGCCATCAGAGGAATTGATATTACATTGTAGCCCTCAAACCGTATTTTCATCCTGTAATTGTGGACAAATGTGGGCACAGGGGACTCAGGTGTTATCCTAATTTTCTGGAGGCAAACTTAGGAAAAGTAGCCAAGTCTTGTACCGCTCAGATCAAGGGAAGTATTTTTTTTTTTAAATAAATCAAAACTATTTTGCCCACATTTGTCCAGAATACGGTTTTAGGGTTAAAATATATTAAAATAGGAAACATTAATTCTGAAATTGTAATATTTCACAGTATTACTGTATTAAAATAAGTGAATCCTTTGTGAGCATAAGACTTTTTTTAAAAACATTACAAATCCTACAGTCACGTGGACCATGTAAAGTGAATTTCCAATGCTTGTTTGATATAATTTCAGGGACTGAAGGGTGAGGCTGGTACGAAAGGAGGCATGGGGACTTTTGGCGCACGTGGTCCAGTAGGACAAAAGGTCAGAATTAGCACTACTATGAAGTTTTTGGAATATTTTGCTATATAAAATTGCATTTTTAGTATATATTGTTTTGTTAAATATTTTTTTTACTGTGGAAAGTAAACAAGTTTTCCTTAGGGAGATCCAGGGGAGTCCGGCGCCAATGGAGAAAAGGTAGAATGAGTGGTTGTGGTTGTTTCATAAACCAAGTTTAATATGTTAGGATTATACTTTTATAAAACATACTGATTGGCTGAGATTTGTTACAGGGTCGAAATGGAGAACATGGTTTGGATGGTGAAAAGGGTGTTAAGGGAGACAAGGGCCTGCAGGGCAAAAAGGGGGATCAGGTGAGAATATGAACCAAATCTGAATAAAATATTAATTATGAAGAAAATCGTCAGAGTAACAGAGGCAACTGAGAGGGAGAACACTGTTCCTTAACCTTTCTTTCTAACTACATTATTTAGAGATGAATGATTCAATATTTAAGTAGGTAGTCCTTTTAGTTTGTTGTTTAAAAGATCACACACTTTATTAAGGGATATAGAAGCAAGCACAATGGTTTTTGTGTTCAGGGTGAGACAGGTGAGCCTGGTTTACCTGGAGATACAGGAATTAAAGGAGAGAAGGTAAGGAGTGTCAATCTGAATTTACTGATTTAGTTTTTTTTTTTTTTTTTTCACCTGTCTGTAACCATTGTGTTTTTCTGCTGCAGGGCTTCAGAGGTTTCCCTGGTCGAATAGGGAACCCAGGACTGGATGGAGAACAGGTGTTTGGGTCTACATTTCATCTTAAGTAAAAAAACTGGATTAAATAAACCACTAATAACATTTATTTTGACTGTAAAACACAGGGTGATTCTGGGGAACCTGGCAGGCATGGCATTCCAGGTCTAAACGGTATCCCGGGACGAAAGGTGAGATACTACACAAAGAGATATCATCATCATCATGTAAAGTTAAGTATAAGATTTATTGTTTTTGTTAATGCTTAGGGTGAAAAGGGGGATAGTGGATTGAATGGTCTTGATGGAGCTCCTGGACAGAAAGGAGAGAAGGTACACTTACAGCACCACTGTTAATTGAAATAATAACAATAATAATTTTATCTTTTTATTAAAGATATAGTACACCCACTCCCCCAAAAAATTCTGTCGCAATTTATTCATCTTCACATCTTTCTAAAACTGTTTGACTGGAACACAAATAGAGATATTTTAAATATTTTTTCATATAATGAAAGCATATTGCAATCAAGAGCTGTCAAGCTTCAAAACAGACTAAAAAGCATCCTAAATGTATCTTACAATTATACCATATGACTCATGCACTATATTTAAAGCCTTCTGAGGTGATATGATAAATGTGTGTGAGAAACGCAATGTATGCAATCTTATTATTTAACTAAACTAAAAAAAAGTAGCTAATTCAAAATGTTAATTAAAAATAATAGTCTATAAATAGTACTAAAATAACCCTGCTATCATGTCACGATCAGTTACTAGGCCATTATTTTTCACATCATTGTGTCAAATGAATATGAGAAATCTTTTTCTCTGTCCTTTTAGCCAAAGCCAATATGTTCATTTTCAATTTTTTATTGATTTACCCCATTCTCCTGTAGGGTGCAACTGGTTTCCCAGGTTTCTCAGGTTTTAAGGGATCTGCTGGTACACCAGGATCTAATGGAGCTCCGGGTCAGCCTGGTCCAGTTGGACCCAAAGGTGAAGTGGGACCGAAGGTACGACCAAATACAATAATATAGCTGATTCATTATTCCTATGTGTGTGTGTGTGTGTGTGTGAGAGAGAGATTCATCAGACCTTACAGACAGATGGATAAATAGTCAAACCATTGTAATTATGGTCATCTTCATACCTCACTCATTCTCATGTGGAGGAACCGTGTAGGAGGACAAGTCCCTAATTAACTCACAAGAGGGAGAGGATGAGAGAGATAGAGAGATGGGCGTAGGAGCTATTTCTGCTGGGATGAAGATTTGAGCTATCAAACCAAACACTGCACTAAGGCCGCCTTTAGCCACAATTAAGCATCTCTTGATGTTGATAGGAATGGAGAGGGTTCGGCAAGCTGCTTTCACTGACAGAGTCTGATTGGTCAAGGTGATCTGTACTTTAGCACAGAATCAGCAGACTTGCTTAAAACATGAGGACGCAGTGAGGTTGCTCAATCGGCCAAGGTTTCTCAATAGTTTTATATTTGACAAGTTTCAACAGTAATAGGGAAAACCTGGTAAAACCGTGATGAGGACAAAAATGTCCCAACAAGGATGGAAATATCCAAAATCCTTGTCCTACCTTGTGTTATAGTTGCAGTGTGTTGTTGTTATATGAATAATAATCATATAGCTATTAATAATAATTAAATAATACTATTACCGTTTTATCCCTAAACTCTAACTGTATAAATAATGTTCATTCATAATACATTAACTAATGTAAATTTGTAAATGTAACAAAATATTTATCTTATTTATAAGAACAACAACAACGGAAATAATAATAATTCTTATTTATGTTATTATTATTATCATGATTATATAAATATATATTTTATAACGCTTTTTGCTCTAAGCAACATAAGTACATCAAACAGGATCAAAGCAATAAAACAGTACAATATGACACACACACACGTCGAAAAGCCATACAATTTCCAAAACGGTTTAGTCGAGCACATAGTTCATAATAAAAATATGCATCTGCATGTGTCTGACCCAACAGCACTGTAAAAATGATCAGTTAACTTAACTTAAAAAGTAATGTGAATTCCACATAACATATCTTTTTATTTAAGAAGACATTAATGTTTACCAAAATTAACAAAAACTGTTATGTACCTGTCACAGTACTGTAGTAATGTTTATGAATTACTGTACACTTTTTGTAAGTACACTTTTTGTAAAGTGCAACTCCTGGTGTTTTTCCATTCTAAAACAGACGAAATACATTTTTATACTCATATGTCAGTTGAAAATAAAATAGGAAATCCATTGGTTTGGTTATGTGTAGCATTAAGCTCAAAGATTGGTCCAGGGTTAGTGGCTGTTTTGTGCTAACACATTATGTATTTATGTGTTACTGTATTACTGTATCTTCGCAGGGAGAGAAGGGGAGGAGAGGCAGAGGAAAAGCCTGTCAACGGGGACCTCCTGGAATTCCTGGCCTCACAGGCCTGGATGTAATGAGGAATCTGCATACAAATAACTGTATCATCCACTCTATTAGGACTTTGTCAATTCACAAACATGTTCAGTCTAAAGTTATGAATATCTTCTATGCAGGGGGAGGTGGGAAGCGTGGGCATGAAAGGAGAAAAAGGGGAGCCAGGACTCAGTGTATGTTGACAACGCCTGTGATATATTTATCGTTATAGATTACAGATACTTTTTCTGTGTGATAAGAAATGTATTAAAATTGTCCTTTTGTTCAGGAGGAGGAAGTGAAGGATCTAGTGTCAAAGGAGGTGGTTGAGAAGTGTGGTGAGTATGTGTGTATGCTCATTTGTATTCTTAAACACACAATGGATCTTAGTTGGGACTGCAAATGAAAACAAAACTGTGAGGATATAGACATGAAAATGGTTCTCTTGGTATTTTTATCCTTGTTTTCCATTACAAATATCTAATACCTTTTAAATCAAGATACATTTAGGCTATTCGAGAAGGAAAATTACTTAAGATTTAAAGTTAATGCTTATAAAAGATCTGTCAGTGAGGTAAAAAACAAAAGCACAAAGCATGAAATCACTTAATTTTGATCATGTTTCACTTAAATATCTAATTGCTTGTATATATTGCAGTGCATATAATATTAATGTATCAGATCACCTCTAATGTATACATCAACGATGTTTTTGTCCACTGAAAATGTTTTGTGTTTAAGTATTTTATCGGCTATACAATTACAGCCAAGAAACAAAACAGTACAACCCGCTGAGCAGACTTGTCTATTCATGTTTAATTGAATATGCTGTCTACCCACACTAAAATTCAGTTGTGCAATGTCCATTGAAGTGGAATTGAAATGAAAAACAGGGTTTCGTTAACACATTTATTTGTTGGTGCTTAGGAGTGTGTGATTTTGTGTATTTGTGTGAGTTTGTGTCTCTCATTTTATGTGTTTGGAGGCCCCTGTTGTGGAGACCTCTGTACCCCATGGGTTCCACCATCTGTTGTGTTCTAGTGGGCTCTCTCACTGAAGAAAAACTATGAAGAAGTCCATGTGTGAAATTAAACGAATTAATGATGTTGATGCCTAATGAAAGTTGCATAAAACGTCGTCACTTTCTTAACCAAAGGGAAGGAAATACTCCTGATGGTGAACACCAATGATCCAGATGATGGGAGTATCCTAAGAGAAGACAGAAGAGCGGATTCTGCCTCTCGGTTCTTGCTCACCCACCCCAAAGTGTGGGATGAAGAGGTGGAGGACGAGACCACTACAGTTCGTCCTGCTGTTTCAGAGTCTGAGCCAACATTAGCATATGGCAACATTACAAGTAGGTATATTCCTGCTTTGAACCAATATGTTAAAACATGGCTTCTCTCTTATGATATCATGCCTATATTTTGTCCTTAGGCCTGGAACCGTTTGGATGGGGAAACTCAGATTATATAATTCATATTTTATGATCACACTCTAAAAAATGCTGGGTTGTTTTAACCCAATTTTGGGTCAAATATGGACAAACCTGAAATGTTGGGTTAAAAATGTAATGTAAAAATTTAACCCAACGGCTGGGTTAGTCCATATTTGACCCAAAGTTGGGTTAAAACAACCCAGCATTTTTTAGAGTGCAGTTTTATATTTGAGTGTTGATTAACTGTACATTTTGGTCTTCTGTAGGAAGCCAATCCTACACTCTCAGAAAAAAAAAAGGTACAAAAGCTGTCACTGGGGCTGTACCTTTTCAAAAGGTACACTTTTGTACACAAATGCTGCATATTGGTACCTTAGTGGTACATATTAGCATCTAAAATGGACATATTACCACCTAAAAAGGACATATTAGCTCATGAAATTGACATATTAGCACCTAAAATGTACATATTAGCACCTAAAATATACATATTAACACTTAAAATTTACATATTAGTACCTCAAATGCACATATTACCACCTAAAATGGACATATTAGCTCATGAAATTGATATATTAGCTCCTGAAATGGACATATTAGCACCTAAAATGTACATATTAACACTTAAAATGTTCATATTAACACTTGAAATGTGCATATTAGCACCCAAAATGTGCATATTAACACCTAAAATGTACTTATTAGCTCATGAAATGGACAAAAGTTTACCTTTTGAAAAGGTACAGCCCCAGTGACAACTTTTGTACCTTTTTTTCTGAGAGTGTATGTTGAGATCTGGCATCTTTGTAGATGTGTTAATTCATCCATAAACACCATTTAGTTCTTCTTTACCTGATGGAAAACAGGTTACAGGGTATAGGTATATGGACGTCATAGACAAAGGTTCTGCATGGTCTACTTCTTTGTGTTATTTTAAGCAACTGAGCCACACAGTAAATATCACTTGAAAAAAAAATCTGCATTGGACCAATGATATATCAATTGCTTGAGGTGAACTTAAATAAGAACTAATATACAGACTTCTTTATTGTTTTATCTGTGTTTGCGCATTCCAGACCGTCAATCAAGAGATTTTCAAGAGATGGCTCTTTCTTCAAAAGTGTCTATTTCTATGAGTGAGTCATTGAATCATTAATTCAACTGATTCAATCCTGACCTAATGCCAATCCTGAGTTGTGTAATTGGGTGTCTTTCTTTTCATTTAATAAAAACAGGTCAAATCAAAATTGTATTTTATGTACATTTATTTATAATAAATAGTTATGTAATATCAGAAAAATGAGGGTGATTTGTTTTACAGATTTTGTCCCATAATACACACATCTATGTGATTATATCTGTGTAATGTCTCTGCATACATGGTGTTAACTGAAAGCTTTTCTGTCGCACTCAGGAGCCAGTACTGAGAGAGATGGAGAGCAGAGAGAAAAGAGACGTGCACTCAAACTCCTCTCAGGTGTGTGTAGAGTAAAAGAGGAGAACATCGTCCTCTGCTGACTGCTGCTCCAAGTGCTTTCAACCAGTTAATACATCTACAAAAACAGCTTACATAAGCAGTATAGTCCGATTTCCTGCACAAATTAAACCTGGTCCTCGAATTAAAAGGATTTGCAGTGGTGATGCTGGGTTTATATCCAGGATAGTCTGAAGAAGTACACATTAATGGTCCTGGCACCAAAAGTGCAAGGCATTACACATAGCCAAGATCTGTCTTTTTTCTACAGTCTATTCTGTCACATCCACAGTGCATTATGAGACACTAATAGACAATAATTAAACCAATGATAAAAGTAACACTCACGAGTGTGTTTACAAGTGAATATATGTGAGAGAGGATAAAACATTTATAAAAAGTGGAACTATTTTTTGATTAACCATTTATTGCTTTGTGTATCCTTGCAGTGATATAAAGACAACTTAGATCCATGATTTTATATTTTTATTTAAAAAATAGAAAATAGCATAAATAAAGTTGTTGTTTCATGCATCTATATTCAATACATTTATTTCAAACTTTTTTTTTCATCATTTTTAATTTAATTAAAAACAGTGTGAATGCATTATTTATTAATTAAAACTATTATGTAATGCTACCTCCACTGAATGCAGACCCGGACGCTGATATGTGCCTTGAACCCATGTCTGAGGGCCACTGCACTGAATACGTCCTGCTCTGGTACTACTACGCCGTCTCAGGGAAATGCCGTCCTTTTGTGTACGGTGGCTGCGGAGGAAACAGAAACCGCTTCAGCTCCAAACAGGATTGTCTGAGTAAATGCATTCTGGGAAGGAAAGGTAAAGAGGCAAACCTCAGGTTCCAATATAAATGGTTATAGATGATAATTTGTCAGAACTTTTCTTGTCCCCTTTTCTTGTTTTACAGATTCTGGATCCTGAGGAAAAACATTTAGCTATCTAACAAAAAAATACTAGTTTTGTACATTTTTGTCATCCCATATGTATATTAGTTTATCACAGCTGTTGTAACTTGTCTAATCTACATCATGTTTGCGTTTCTATAGCATCACACATCGTTGCACTGTTATAGTGATACTTATCTACGAATTTCTTACCAATATAGCACGTTCTTATTTAAAACCTATGAACGGAGGTCATGATTCTAAGAGTAAATGCACTATTAATATAATCAACTGTGTTTATGACCTGTTTACCAAGTCCATTTTGCACTAATGGTTCTGTTTGTAAAATGTTCTTTTAAAATATTATGTGAGACAATAAAACAATGAACTGTATATATTTTTGAATGGGCTATACAGTCGTAGGGGTTTACTGTAGGTGGGTGGGTATGTGCGTGAGAACATTTTTACATCGTGACCTCTGATTTTGGACAGTGTTCTCTGAGCTTGGCCCTATGTTGTGTATAAATGCTGCCATATTGGCTTTTCTTCAGCAATGTTTGTCGAGTCGTGTCTGGACGGTGTCTCCTGGGGGCAGGCAGAGAAAGTGTGTGCGCATTTGAAGCAAATGGACTAGCTGAATTTGTGGGTGGCTTACACAGCATTTGTACACTCGTGCATGTATTTGTATGTTTCCTTCCTCATTATTTTTACCCCTCCATATCTTTTTCACGTCGTAAAAGCTTTACCTTCCGCTGACATTGACGCTGTTCGGTCTTGTATAATCTCCCAACTAAGCTGCTCCCTAGGTTTCTAGCTTTTTACATATGTCCCAGTAGCAGGGGGGGCGTGTAGCAGGCTGTAGTCCAATTTAGAGCACATTGAGAAGACTGTGGTACAAGTTAGAAGACAGGACGCCCTTTACAATGTGTCTAAGGGGATCCCTGAGTGAACTTCATTGAGCACGCTAGCACAGATGCCCTTTACACCTGCTTTAAAATGTAGTTTTTAAGCTTTAATGAGCTTCCTTTAACTTCATGTGGAATAAAAGTATTATCATACAGTCCAATGCACAATGTTTACAGCGTTTAAATGTAATCATTAATGAAGCTTCCCAACTTTAGAGCCCTTGATGGCAAAGCAATCAATCTTTAAAGGGAGGTGAGAAGAAAATGAATTAAACTTATGAGCATGAACTGCACAGCAATTAACTCACAGGGACGCCTAAAAAGGAACACAAACTTGTTATAGTTATTGACCCTGACAACTAATGAAACAATTAAACAGACCCAGAAATTCCTGTTTTATAAATAGCTCAATACACATGCAGAGTAAATAAATTGCTGCGCTATCCATGGTGCTGAATGCCTTTAGACGAGTTGGTAAGTTCTCAGTATATGCCATCTTAATTTTGAGCCTTATAACCACTTTATTCCAAAGTTTTATGGATAATTATGTCCAGCCAGCCAGTCATGACATATGAGTGGTAGGTTATTTTATTTTGTTTAATGACAAAAAAAAAAACTATTGCATATCGCAATGAACTCGAAGAAAAAAAAAGGAAAAACTTTGTAGCTAAATATATTAGTTAACCACGTTAAAAAGCTTGGTGCTAACCCTTTTCCCTAAAAATCGTATGTTTTCGCACAAATCGCATCGTACCTACAGCTAAAAATCAGTAATAAACTAAAATATTCAATCAAATAAATGGTAAATAATTTTACCTGTAAATAAATGAAAAATTATGTTATTAATTATAAATTATAATTTCGACTAATCATGTATGTTTATGCTTAAATATAATTAAATATAAGTTTTTTCGTGTGTTGAGTTGGCCCACAAAATGTATGTTTCATGCTTAAAGCTACACTGTGTGATTTTTAACCCCATCTAGCGGTGAAAAGGTATATGACCATCCAGTGAATATTAGTTTCTGTTCCTCTCAAATCCGATTTCGTGTTAACTCCTATGGTGGCCAATGTATTCCTTAAAAAGGGATAGGAATATATGATGTAGATATTCATTTATTTTTTTAATAATTTGCCACCATTAAAAAAAAAAAACAACTTTTTTTAATAGGCTAGTGGCAAAGTAAGTTCCAAAATAAATGTAGAACCAACTCAGTATGCGATTTCATACATTTCAGCCATTGTGAGCACCAATGCACCCTGGTTTTCACGTTGCATTATGGGACTTTAGGGAGCAAACGTTTCCATGCACTAGTATGACTTTGCGATTGAGACAGCCCTTAAAATGGCCGACTCCCTGATCAGTGGCCTGACTACTGAAGTAGGGAGCAGATTGAGACGCACTCATAATCTGAATTTTTTTTTTTTTTTTTTTTTTTTTCTATAATTAGCCCAGGATGACTCTACATAGCTCGTCACGTTTATCAAATATTAAGCATACACGGTCGGTTATCTGTGCACAAGCGCATAAATCACCACCTCATTTTACTGGGAGGGTCCCAATAAATGACGTTATTGCTGGCGTACGACTGCAGCGTAAATGGGCTAAATGAATGCACATCCAATGGGCAACCAGTCAAACGCATATTATCAGCAGCCAGGGAGATATCGAACCCACAAAATCACTCTTATTTAAGTTGACGTTGAGTTTTTGTCTTTGCTTACCTTTTTAATAACACTTTGGATTTACGATCCAAAAGTTGTGCTTGACAAACGCTTCACTTCAGAAGACTCTTCTCATCCAAACAGTGCAGGTAAGTAATTTAGTCCTGTGTGAGATTTAAAAGGGATATATTCTTCCATTATTTACCCAAAGGTTGTTCCAAACCTGTATGACTTTCTGGATCACAAATTATTAAAAAGTGACAGCTTCAGTCTTCACTCTTCAGTGCATCTTTTGATTCATTGAAATGGTGGTGACGAGCTGTCATTCAGTCCAGCGATAGCTTTTGCTCCACAGAAGAAAGAAGTTTATACCGGTTTGGAACAACATGAGGGTGAGTAAATAATGACAGTTTTGTTTTAGTTGAACCGTTATTCCTTTACATAGGCGCAATGCCATATGACACTTTTATGCAAAGTTTCTTTTTGGAAGTTTTAAATAATCAGTACGGAAGAAATGTGAATCCAAATGCAATCTGATAGTGCCTCATATTCTCACGCACCTCCTTTCAACAGGGCAAAACGATGTGGTTTGCGCGGACCCTCCTCGCTCTAGCACTTCTTTGCGCACCGGTCTCCAGCCTGTGCTTACCAACGTACAACCCAGAGTTCAACTTTCTTTGCAACAACGAGATGTTCTCCGAGGCGAATGATAATGGGAAACCGTCGAATTCCCTGCTCGACAGAGTAAACCTCCTATACAAATCAGCGCACGCGCTTTCCTCTGAGGACCCGCGCGAGAGGAGGACTGTACCCGCGTCTAAATACAGGTACTTGAGCCAGACACAGCTCAGGAGTAAACTGTACCGCAACAGTGCGAAGAGCGATCGACGCAACCAGGTCACTCTTTCCCTCGACGTGCCCACCAACATTATGAACATCCTCTTCAACATTGCCAAAGCCAAGAACCTGCGCGCAAAGGCGGATGACAACGCGCGCCTGCTGGCGCAGATTGGAAAGAGGAAATGAACTCTTATTCCTGACTTTAACATTGGTTTTTGTAACCAACTGAGGCATGTTATATATCTAATTTAATTGTAATAAAGGGTTTTTTTTCAGTTGCATAAAAAATAGCAATACTGAAAATTAATGGAATTTATTAGCAGGTGAAATAATTGTCTTTAAAGGGTTTTGAATTATTAGCCTACCCACTAACTCTTGTTAGACTCTTAGAAACAGTAAGTGTTTAAAATTGGCTTACTATATAGCAGCGAGACTCGTTTGACATTTGTAATCAAAACAACTGTTTAGTAGGTCAAATTGTATGCTCAAGCTTAAAAGAGATGTTTGGAGTATAATATTGCGTCTCAGAGGGAAGTATACGACATATTTTGCCAATCCTCTTTCACACAATTTATCTGTACAAAGCAATGAAAGGTGAACTGATTATTTTAAAAAGAAAATAACGCTCTGATATGCTACTTATAAAGTGGGTTGATAAAACCGACAGTGGAATATTTTTGTACTGAAAATAATTATTATTTTTTCGTTAAATAAATAAATGCAAATGAAAACAAAAGCGTCCACTGGAAGCATATTATTTCGATGGGGATTTTTTCTGTTACGCATCTTTCAATATTTCACAGGTTTAATTCAGGCAAAGTTGTTGATCCAGGGACACGCAGAAAAAAAGAAGATAATCAATAAAGTCAGTTTATGATAAGCTAATATTTTAATAGACCTATTATACTATCGAACTACAGATGGCCAGGTCATTTGTTGTTTTTACGAAAAAAAAAAAAACATAAAGCAAAGTCATTGTAGATGTTTTTAAGTCAAGGTCAAGGATATGAAAATAAAATGATAATAGCAACTTGATACACTTAGCTACTGTAGCACATTTATTTTTAAATCATCGCACCACATTCTACACTTTTTTTGTAAACATCATCCAACTAGTCAACACAAAGCTGTTACAGGCCAGGTTTTGAATAAAAAAATAGAAAAATATCCAGTTGATCACTTTTGTAAGATTTAATTTTGGTCAAGACAAAGTGATTAATTGAGATTAATTTTCCAAAGTCTGTTCTCAGAACAAATGATAAAGGTTAGGCTAATATTATATAAAAAAATATATATATACATACTTAAAATATGACAATATGTTACAAATACATATTATAATTCACAAACACAGTCTTTTAATGGTGTGTAAAGTACATATAAATATATAAATGATGTGTGTGTGTGTGTGTGTTCCACATATATATATATATATATATATATAATTTGTATTTGTAAAACATTGTCATATTTTAAATGTATGTATGTATGTATATATATATATATTATATATATATATATATATATATATATATATATATATATATATATATGGAACGCAAGAAGAAAACAAACCTCTTCATCCTCATCTCGACTTTTAAGCATAGACCTTTATTTTGAAGTGTGAACTCAGTGGACTCCACCTCCGCCAGCTCACAGTACACGTCACTCTGGTTGACGTGGAGGAAGAGAGCGTGAATGACTGTCTGATCATCTCGTTTACTGCTATTAAACATTCAGCAAAATGATCAAGAAATTCGACAAGAAGGACGAGGAGTCTGGTAAGATCATTATTAAATTAAAGCTGACACATGATAAGATTTGTATCATATGATAAACAGCTTATTTCAGTGTCCGAAATGATGTTGGTTGTTTTGCTAAGGAAGAGCGTCTCTGCAGGCCACAGTTAGTACATCTGCAACTGAAAATTACACTTGTTTAACACTAAGTTAACGATTTATGTACGTTTCATTTGTATATTTAATTTGAGTTGTCGATTAACTAGCAGTAGCAGCAAAGTTATTTTTTCTCTAACCTGTATGAGTTTAATTAATCTTTATTGAGGAAGCTAATGTGCTAGCAGTAACTAGCCTTTATATATATATATATTCATTTAGCAAGCTCGTAAACGAAAAATTTTAACATTTCCTTCGTGGTTTTTCTCCATAAGCTTTGCATTCCGTATATTAAAAGGGAATGTCTGATTGAAGTTGATTTAAATGGCTGCAAAGGGGCTACATATAGATGCTATTCTTTCTTGTCGTGACAACTTTTATTTATAAGGCACTATATTCTTTTGACAGTTCAAATTCAGAAGATCCAAATCTTTGGTTTTGGTTTACTAAATGGATAATAAATGTTTCTTTAAATAAATTTAACCAATATTGCTGTATTGCAGTGGCAAAGAGCCACGTAATAAGACGCTATTCGTTCTCTCATCACTTACTCTAAGACTAGGCTACGTTTCTTCAAGAAATGGCATTATATGATTTATAACTAAGGATTATTGCCCTAACTAAACTATAGTCTATATTTTATCTGAATGAAGCCACAAACCTTTAATTTATTGACGGATATGTTCTTATGCATTTAGGAAGTGGTTCAAACCCCTTTCAGCATCTGGAGAAAAGCGCTGTACTACAGGAGGTGAGTTTGATGCATTTTGAATCTTAAAATTTTCTGAACTTCTCTTTAGTACTGTGCATTAAATTACATTGCATGTTTGTTTTAAAGGCTCGGATATTCAACGAGACACCCATCAACCCGAGAAGATGTCTGCACATCCTGACGAAGATCATTTACCTGCTCAACCAGGTATGTGATTATATCTTACTTTTTTTAGCAGTTTTAGCACTACTGCAACTCTCTTTCTCTATGGACTGATTCATCTCTACTCTACTCATTTTTCAGGGTGAGCACTTTGGAACCACAGAAGCCACTGAAGCTTTCTTTGCCATGACTAGGCTGTTCCAGTCTAATGATGTAAGACACTTTATTTACTGGTTATAACTAGTGTGTTACTAGACAGCCATTTTTTTTGGCATCACTACCAATGTTATTGTCAAATAAAACATATAGAAAAAAATTGTGAATTGAAATAATGTAATAAAACAAAATTAAATATTAGATGAAAAGTTAAACAAAATGTCAATTAGAATTAGCCTTTTCAACTAATTGAAATAACTTTGTTGAACTTAATGAAACTAAAACCTTCAATAAAAGATTAACCCTAAATAGGAATGGTTAAGAAAAATTATAAAAACAAAGAACAAAGTTACTAAAATCTAAAGTTAAAATCAAACCTGGAAAAATAACACAAAATAAATAAATTAAAAACTATAGTAGGTTATTATAGGTATACATTTACACGGATAAATACTTATTTTATTTATTGAGTTGGAGCAATTAATAATTTATTGCAGATAATGTGCTGTGAAAATGTATTTTGCTTTTGCCTCATGTTTTAGCAAACCCTGAGAAGAATGTGTTACCTGACCATTAAGGAGATGGCCAACATCTCAGAGGATGTGATCATAGTTACAAGCAGGTGAGCAGTTCATTTTGCAGTTCATTTTACAGACTTTTCCTCAACTTGCGGGTTATAAAGTTTTGAATAGTGTTTCTTGACAAAAAAAACTCTGTACCTATTTAAAGAAAACTATATACATTTATAACATTTGTAGTAGTGTGTAAACATTTGTTATTTAATGAGAAATGGAAATCTTTGCACATGCCACCAATATTACCTGAAAAACGCTGAATAATGTTTTGTGTGTGTCTCAGCTTGACAAAGGACATGACTGGAAAAGAGGATGTGTACAGAGGCCCGGCAATCAGAGCTCTCTGTAGGATCACTGATGTGAGTCTCAACTCTTTGAAATCTCATTTGCCTCTGTGTAACAGACTTTGTTTTCTATCAGTGAGAAATAAACTACAATGGAACTGATGTAAATGATCCTTTCAATTGTGCTTGTTCCATCTTGTCCACTAGACCACCATGCTGCAGGCTATTGAACGATACATGAAACAGGCCATCGTGGACAAAGTGCCGAGCGTGTCCAGCTCTGCTCTCGTCTCCTCGCTGGTAAGATCACAACCTGGCGCCCAGTCTTATTTTAGTATTATTTAAGCACAATTATAGGATTTGTTAATCTTTTAAAATGGCGCTAAACTGAATTGTAGTCTGTTTTCACTTAACTATTTATTACACTTAGACCTATAATGTAGCTATACTGTTTGTTTCTGTATTTGTTTCACAGCACATGGTGAAGATGAGTTTTGATGTGGTAAAACGCTGGGTCAATGAAGCTCAGGAGGCGGCTTCAAGTGATAACATCATGGTGCAGGTTAGTATAATGTTTGCATCCATTGTCTTATGAGTTGAGGGCCTTTCTGTGTTTAATTAATTGGGATCTCTCTGCACAGTACCATGCTTTGGGTCTTCTGTACCACTTGAGGAAGAATGACCGTCTGGCTGTGACCAAGATGCTCAACAAATTCACCAAATCTGGCCTCAAGTCTCCATTTGCTTACTGCATGATGATTCGCATTGCCAGTAAGCTGCTGGAGGAGACGGATGGAGGGTATGTGTGTTGGACATCAGGCCCTTTTAGGCGTTATCAACATCATGCAGTTGCTAATAATGTACATGTAACCTTATTTGTGCTCAGATTTACTAACAGCTTGCACCAGAGCAAACCCTCTTTTGGTATAATAAAATTAGTCGGGTATTCTCACGCTAATTTGCTTTTCCTTGTTTAGTAAATTTGGCCCTTAGTCTGTCTACGTTGTTTTAACAGGCACGATAGCCCTCTGTTTGACTTCATTGAGAGCTGCTTGAGGAATAAACATGAGATGGTGGTTTATGAAGCGGCCTCCGCCATCGTCCACATGCCCAACTGTACCGCTCGTGAGCTGGCTCCTGCTGTGTCCGGTTAGTCTTGTGCATTTTTCTTCTTGCTGCTACCTTTTTGATTTCTAACCAGCGCACAAGACAGATGACACTAGATCTTTAAATCATTTTTGTTTCTCTCTCTTTCTTTCCATAGTTCTCCAGCTGTTTTGCAGCTCTCCCAAAGCAGCACTGCGATATGCAGCTGTACGGACCCTTAATAAGGTTAGTTTTTCCTTTTTTTTTTTAATAGGATCTCATATGTAAACCATTGCATTATCAACAACTACCACTTGGAGACAACAAAAAACACATTTTAATGTTCAAAGACAGTTTGATATCACAGAAATTGTGCTATAGTGCTATTTTATTTATTTTTTTATGTCTTTTATTTTAGTTTGTTTAACTAACTTAAAATTAGGACATGTAGCCTTGCCAAGTTTTTTTTTTTATATCTTATTTTATTTCAAATAACAGGTGGCAATGAAGCATCCATCAGCAGTGACCGCGTGCAATCTGGACCTGGAGAACCTGATCACTGACTCCAACCGCAGCATCGCCACCCTGGCCATCACCACCCTGCTGAAGACTGGCAGCGAGAGCAGCGTGGACCGTCTAATGAAACAGATCTCCTCCTTCGTCTCTGAGATCTCGGATGAGTTCAAGGTGACTTCATCATCGAAACAACGAATTAGAGAGCAAACATTTGTTTTAAATAAATATTTGGGAGTTTAATATTTTAATAATTTGCACATATTGTACCTTTTAAATAATTGGTCTATGTAATAATGTTCCAGTAAACAATGTGTTCTCATAATAACTAAATGGTGTGTTTGTTTTCCAGGTGGTT